CCTACCATCTTTCTTCTAATCACTATCAACCGCACCGCTACAGACCAGAACGCCTCACCACCCAAGACTCCGGGTCCAACTACTAAGAGTCAAGTGCACAGCACCTGCATAGCCCACACCCACAGAAAACTCTCAAACACGACGTCCCAACTACCACGCACATCGCACATCACAAGCACCAGTACCTTCCTCAACTCATCTGGTCATCCAACCAGCCACCTGCCTCGACCTTTCGGGCCCCGACTCCGATACATTTAGCCCTGAAAGAGGCCTTGTAGTGGACCTGACCACCATGACAGCTTCTGACCTGAGAACCCTTAACTGGCATAAGTGGCAAAAGGACTGACAAATGTACTTCCGTTATTTTGTACCGTCTCTCACACACCGTGTCGTCATCACAAGAAAACCACATCCTCTAGCCTGGGTCCTGGAATAAGGCACGAGAGGCAAAACAAGAGCAGCTGACCTGCAGATCTATAGCCTGAAGGAGAGCCGCACAGGCCAACTTTATGGTAGTTTGTTAGCAAGAATGATTGAGACAAGAGCTAACTCATACAATCATACTATACAAAAATGTATCTTCTGCAACATATTATGTAATACAGCAATCTCCCCCTTATCTAAAGTTTTGCTTTCTACAGCTTAAATTACTGGAAATCAACCATGGTTCAAAATTAAATGTAAAATTCAAGAAATAAAAATTTATACCTCTTAAATAACTTATTGTAGTACATTACTATAATTACTCTACTTTTATTAGTTATTGTTGCTAATCCATTACTGCACGTATTTATAAATTAAGCTCTGTCATTAGTACATGTGTACATTTGGCCCTTCATATCCATATGTAGGTTCTCCATCCAGGATTCAACCAACTGTGGGTCAAACATATTTTAAATTGTATACTGAACAGAAACAGCCTTTTTTCTTGTCATTATTGCCTAAACAATACAGTGTAACAGCTATTTACATAGCACTTACATTGAATTAGGCTTGATCAGTAATCTAGGGATGATTTAAAGTGTACAGGAAGTTGTATAAAAGTTGTAGGAGTCAATCACTTCCATTCCTTTGCAAGTGCTATTGTCCAACAGAATAAAAACTGTAATATTAGGGACCAAAACCATCATCTTTTAGATTTGGGGTTTTTTTTTTGGGGGGGGGGAGTGGTGGCACTGGGGTTTGAACTCAGGGCTTCATGCTTTCTAGGCAGGCACTCTATCACTGGAGCAGTCTTCAGCCAACTTTTTAGTTTTAAGTACAGGCCACTGCTAAACACTGCCTGGTAATGATGCAGCAGTACAAAAGGCATGCTCATATGTGACCACTGAAGCTCGTAATAAACTTGCAAACTAAATATCAACATTTATACACCTTGTACAGTTAACATTAGCCTTGGAAAGCACGGCTTGTAGTTTTTTTTCAATTGGTTACTAGATCAGTCTGTGCTCATAAAAGCTATTGTTTTTCCTTAATTTTTATAACTTCACATCATTTTACTTGAGTTCATGTGGAGTGGGGAACTCATGCCTATGAAGATTCAGTACTACTAAGCCCTTACCTATTTCAGCCAACAGGACTTCTGCAGTATGTCTATGAGCTGTCCCTTGATATACAAGCCCAATGCCAACCACTGCAGCCACTTGGACATTGTGAGGAACATCAAGCTCTGTGGACGTTGGGGGTAAGAGAGCAGGAATGTGAATACTAAGAAGCCGAGTAATTGACATATCCATGGTGCCTAATTTTGCAGCAGAAACACCAAGTAGTAGTCCAATGCTTGTCATTTCATGGCCCTAAGATGGAAAATAGAATAAAGCTTAAGAGACACTGAGGAAAAAAATAAGACAGTTTTAAATAAAATATGGCCCACTACTTTCAATCAAACTTTTATGAGATAGGCAGTGAGAGTATAGTGGCAATCTACACACACATGGTCCCTGTTCATGTTAGTACAGGAAGTATTAAAATTAAAAATATACAAATAAGTCCATTATTAAAAAATAGTATAATAAAAAATTTTTAAATACAAAGTATTATGAGAGCATTTTAAAGGAGACTAATAATTTAGATTAGAAGGGGAAAGAGAATTATTAGGAATCACTAAAGGAGATTACATGAAGATACTTATAATAAAATCTGAAGGATGAATACACACGAGCCAGAAAAATGGTGGGAAGGGGATACTCAAGTCTAGAGGGTGGTGAGAAATGGAAGATGTTGCGAGTAAGGCTGGAGAAGTGAACAGATCACATCGGCTTCAAGAAATACATTAAGAGCACTGAGACACAGTAAATGGTTCTGACCAGGGAGGATGCACACTGCTGGACACTTTAGAAAGATTATATTGCCTGCTGTGAGATGAATGGACTTAAGAGACAAGAATGAAAAGCCAATAGAGCAATGAGGAGATAATGCAATAGGCAGGTGAGGGACAGTGTGAGGCACTGGAATCACAACTTCTCACCTTGGTCAAGTAGTCATGAATATTGAGAGTAGCCAGCTTGGTAAGGTGCCCATTGAGACCCAGGGCCATGAGGAAGCCAGCATACTCATTGGCTAACTCAGCATGCTTGGGCTTATTGTAAACAATCCAAGCTGAATCGATCTGAGAGGCAGGAGCTATCTTCAGGCCAGCAGCCACACCATTATGGAAGCTGGCCCAGCTTGTCATGTTCGGAGGCACATCAATGTTCCCACTATTAAGATCTACTGTTGTGTTCCGAGGTGGGGCTCGCCCTATGCAACCAAAGGAAAGTTGACATTGAGAATAAGAATTCACAAAATCCTATTTGTTAAATTTAGATATATGAGAATAAGATTATGTTTACAACATTCAAAATACATAATACTTTAAAACCTGGAATGATGTCAGGTCTCTATGGGTACTTAAACGTTATACATGAGTCAATCTTGATTGAAAGTAAAAAACCTGACTGATTGTTTAAATAGTAAGGAGCTTATTTAATTAGAAACTAAAATGAGGATTAATACCTCAGCTTAATTACATGAACAGTAAATTCCAATGGATAACTGATGATACTGATGTTATTTTCAAATATTCTATCCAGTTTTCTCTAGATATTGAGGAAAAATGACATTACAAAAAAAAGAAAAGGATCTTTATAAATCAGTTTTATTTCTATTCCTCTCTCTATTAAATGTATTGATACCTAATTATATGCTATTGTTAAATATGCCAAATTGTATTTAGAGACTGCTATATAAAAAGCATCTATTTACAGCCAAGTTACCTACTGAACTACAAAGGAGCATTCACTAAATTTAATTTTACAGTCAATATATTTGAAAGCAATATAAATTAACTATGATGTACTCAGCTTGAATTCTGATTTCTTTGGGTTTTGATCTATATTGTATACAAGCAAAAATTGAATTCTTTTTATATTTTGAGGGGTCTATATTAGCTTGAGTCAGAGACGAATATTTAAAATAAACATTATAAGTATTGCACAAAGTTATCAAGTTCATTAGAGCTTTAAAAATATGGCATGAGAAGAGTTGCAAAGCCAGACACCAGTGGTTCACACCTATAATCCTTGCTACTCAAGAGGCAGAGATCAGGAGGACTGCAGTTCGAAGCCAGCCTGGGCAAATAATTCTGCGAGACCCTATCAGGAAGAAACCCTTCACCAAAAAGGGCTGGTGGAGTGGCTCAACATGTAGGCCCTGAGTTCAAGCCCTAGTATCACAAAAAAAAAAGAGTTGCAAAGTCAGGCACAAGTGGCTCACACCTGTAATCCTAGCTACTTGGGAACCTGGTTGGGGCCAGCCTGGGCAAATAGTTTGTAAGATCCCATCACCAAAATAACCAGAGGTGCAGGTCAAGTGGTTAGAACACCTGCTTTGCAAGTGCAAAGCCCTGAGTTCAAATTCAAAAAAGAGTTGCAAGGAGTCATGCACAACAAATCTTGAATAGATTCATAGTATATATATGTGTACACACATAGATTACAAAGCACAATGTAAAACATATTTGTCTATACCATTTAATTTTTGTAGCTACAAGCTAACTCAACTGAAGTATTAGACAACAGCACAATGGGTAACAGGTTCATAAGTTACACTTGTTCTCTCTCAAAAAAGGCAGATCAACAGTGAAAAAGAAGTAATCTTTCTAAAACATTCATTCATCATATACATGAGAGGTAAGCAAGTTTTCCTCAATAAGAACAGAATACAAAAGTTTAACAGTCACATCAGCATGGGAAAAGACACTATTCTAAGAAAGTAATTTCTCCTGTTATTATTAAAACAGGATAGGGCCAAGTGCTGGTGGCTCACATCTGTACTCCTAGCTACTCAGGAGGCAGAGATAAGGAGGATCCCAGTTCGAAGCCAGCCTGGGCAAATTAATTGTTCATGAGACCCTATCTCAGAAATATCACACACACACACAAGTGGAATTGCTCAAGGTGTAGGCCCTGAGTTCAAGCCCCACTACAGAGCAAAAAAAAAAAACACGATAGGCCAGGCAAGATAGTGCACTTGTATAATAGCAGCATTCAAGAGGTAGAAGCAGGAACAAGTTCCAGAGCAATCTAGGCTACACAATGTGACCCTGTCATAAAACAGACCCCTCTCCAAAAAACATAAAAAAAAAGAAACAGGATAACTTTGGGGTTTTTTTGTCTCATAAAACAACTAAAAGAATAGAAGATTAAGTTTGTGTCATGAATGCATTTAAATGATGCCAATTTAATTAAATGGCTTGTGCATTTTTTAGGTAGCTCCTAACCATTACTTGGGTATTAAATCACCCAGATTAAATACATTTTATCATTTGTCAATTTTCCACAAACTTTTTATAAGAAAACTTTCATGTAAACAATTTATAAGACCAAAAAAAGAACTTCTCTATATAATGCCTTTCATCAAGATTTAGTAACTGTTTAGATTTTACCAAAGCTGCTTTATGTCTGAGAGAAAGATTTAAACACTGAAAGTAATTCTGCCAGTTCTCAATGAGATTTGGCCTCAGAATCTCATTGTGGAAGGATATGCATTCTTCACTCAGCTACCACCTCATTACTTGCATGCTGCTCCAGGCAATCAGCTCTTTACAAATCTGAGTGGGAATGTACATTTTCAAAGGATGCAACTTAAAACACTGTGTAGTTATACTTGCATACATTGCACACTACTGTGGATGCTACTGTATGCTATTACACAGGTTCCCTACATGAAGGAATTTTCAATGATAATTTTGGCTGCATGCATTTGTCATCTTTGGAGTACATTCAAACCAGCCTTAGGTGAACAAGAACTATAAAACATAATCAAGAATATTGGGAAATGAACACAGCTATATCCAGCAGAAGTGAAAATTCAACCAACCATCTAGAAAGGCAATTTGATAACATGTTATATCAAAACCTTAAAATCGTTCATCTTGCTGTTCTAGGAATTCTACTTTTAAACATTTACCCTAATTACATAAAATGACTATGCCTCAACAATGTTTAAAATGGCAAAAAAAAAAAAGAAAATACTAGATTGTTTTTATATACTGAAATATATCCATTGAATGAAATAAATTGTGCATATAATACATATATGAACATAATCACAGTCAGCCTACCACATTCATGGATTTACTAAACATAATTTTGACCAAGTACACTCAAAACATTTAATAATTTTTTAAAATATCAAAAGAATTTCAAGGCTAGGCATGGTGCTCATGCCTCTAATACTGGCTACTAGGCAGTTGGTGATGGAGAGGAACAAGGCTCAAGGCCAGCCTAGACAAAAAGTTAGTGAAATCCCATCTCAAACAAGAATCCAGGCAAGACATCCCACCTATGCTAGAGGCATAGTTAGGAGAGCCATCTTAGGCTGGCCCAAAGCAAAAACTGGAGACCAGACCTGCAAAATAAAGAAAAAAATGACTGGAGGTGTTTCTCAAGAGGTAGTACACCTGCCAGGCAAGTGCAAAGCCCTGAGGTCAAACCCTAGTGCTGCCAAAAAAAAAAAAAAGAAATTTCAAAAACAAAAATGTTACATTCCCACACTTAAATTATGCAGCTCAGTTGATGCAGAGAAGTTCTCTGTTGGTCCTGCATTTTGGTTAGTTGTGTTTAAATCATTGTGTGATCTGCTAAATGTTTCCCTTTCATTTTGTGAAAATGTTTCCCAAAAAACAAATGGTGCCCAAAACGCTGACCCAAAAAAGGGCATATAATATGCTTATTTTAAGTTCTAAAGTAAATATTTTTGTTGAAAAGCAGCATATTTTTAGCAGAAATTGGGTGGTATTATGGAAAAAATACACCAAGCACCCACAGTACAGCACTGAACTCTATGCATCCTGAGCATTCATGGCTTTTCCTCAATGGCAATCTCCTTGGAAAATATACCCATGGATATCAATGGTCTATTTTATATACACATATGTGCTAATGAAGGATTCCTGCTATAAAAATTTTCAAATTTCTAAAATGATATTAAACTTTCTGATAAATAAATATAAAACCATATATGTCAAAATTAAAATTGGAAAATACATATACCAAGATTGACAGTAGTGACACTCGGGAGTGTTACTAGTTTAAGTGACCACTTTTCTTTTTCTATAGTATATTTTCTTGTTTTTGTACAATGATCACTCGTAATACAACATGAGACACTAAAGGCACATGGCTTTAGGAATTCCAACTCTTGGAAAGCAGAAGCAAGAGGACTGAAAGTTCAAAGTCAGCCTGTGCTACAAAATAAATTACAGGCTAGCCTGTAACTTTTGAGACATTGTCTCAAAAAACAAACCAAGACTAAATATTTTTCCATGTTACACTTTAAGATTATTGCAATTTTACTAATCTCATCAATATTAGTAACATATTTCTGAACTTTTAAAATAATCTCATTAAAAAAATTAGTATAAGTTATACTCTACTTCCTTTGATATTTAGTTTGTCATTTGAGCTTTAATAACTATAGCAGCTATTAACAATTCTTAAAATCACTGAGGACAAAGGAAGCACTTTTTTCCTTTTTTTTTTTTTTTTTTTTTTTTGCAGTACTGGGGTTCAAACTCACAGCCCTGCACTTGCTAGGCAGGTGCTCTACCACTTGAACCACACTTCCAGCCATTTTGCTTTATTTTTTGGATAGGGTCTCAGTGTTGCCCACAGACAGCCTTGGATCATGATCCTCCTACCTCACTGCACAGCTGGGATAACAGGCATATGCCACCACACACAGCTTTTTCAAGATAGGGTCTAACTTTATGCCCAGGTTGGTCTCGAACCTCAACTCTCTTTATCTCAGCCTTCCAAGTAGCAGAGATTACAGACATAAGTCACCATTTCCAGCTTAAGGAAGCATTTCTTTTATTTTAACTAAAGTGATTCAAAATTTATGATGCACATTTTCCTTTCTCACTGAACCAGAATTTAACATACCAGTCAGATTCAACTTAGGAATAGGCAATGGTTCTGTTGGAACAGGATGGTATGAAAACAAAGTAAACATTCCTCGTCCTACAGGAAGAGCCATAGTTCGCTGACACAACTGGAGCAATCTATAATTAAAATACAAAGCAACATATAGAAAATGTTAAAGCAAAGCATAACTGGAATGCAATCCATAGGTAAAAAGTGCATAATGTGTACAATGAAGTCACCTCAAAGTAAGCCCACACAGAGACATGTGTGAACCACTCAAACACACCTGTTCTCATTTTAATACTCCTGCTCTCATTAGAACTCTGAAGAAGGAGACATGTTGTCTTTTTGTTTCATTTCCTATTTGCTTTGAATGAAACCCAGCTGGCCTATAAACCAAACCAACTCTCCCTACATATTCAAAGAAATTGTACCCTGACTGATGCTAACCTTCTCAAAGGAAAATATAGTACTTTGGTGGTTTCATCTTTATGTTATTGTCAGTCTAGTTGCCCTCAGTACATGAAGAATCCTCCTTCCATTCCTCAGGAATGCTACCACCTCTATAGTTTTATACATTAAAAAAAAAGGAAGTGAATGGGTTACATGGTGTCTCCGGGATAAACAATCAGTTTCGCTTACATGACAGCTCATAGTTACAGGACTAATACCACTATACACACAGTCATGCTCAAGATGAAAATAGCACCACTCTTTTAACTTGTTTCTGCATTGAACTGCATTCCACATAGGTCCATAAAACAAGACAAAACTTTGCAATAACTATAGAAGTAGGCATTTGGAACTAAGAAGTGCTTTTTTTTCTTTTCTTTTTTTTTGGAGGGGGTGAGGAGGAAGGGGCATTAATGGAGTTTGAACTCAGGCCCTCCTGCTTGCTAGTCAGGCACTCTACCACTTGAGCCCCAGGCCCATTTTTGCTTTAGTTATTTTTCAGATAGGGTCTCGAGTTTTCACCTGAGACTCAGACTGTGATCCTTCTACCTATGTTTCCCTCATAGTTGGGATTATAGGCCACCACCTCAGTTTGTTGAGATTGGGGTAGGGGGTATCTTGCTGAGTTTTGGTCTAGGCTGACATAGAACCATGATTCTCCCAATCTATTCCTCCCAAGTAGCTGAGATTACACGCATGCACCACCATGTCCCACCTTAACAAACATTTTTAAAAGCTGAAATTGGAAATATAGAAATATGCCAGGTGCCAGTGGCTCATGCCTATAATCCTAGCTACTCAGGAGGCAATGATTAGGAGGATCTCAGTTCGAAATCAGCCTGGGCAAATTATTTGTGAGACCCTGTCTGAAAAATATTCAACACACACACACACACAAAGAAACAGGGCCAGAGGAGTGGCTCAGGTGGTAAAGCACCTGCCTAGCAAGCTTGAGGCCCTGAGTTTAAAATCCAAGTACTAAAAAAAGAGGAAGAGGATCCAAGATGGCGACTAGAGTGCAGAAGCAGACAGCGTGAGCTCCGTAAATCAAAAATCTTGCTGAGATGCTGGAGCCACACTTGGCAGAAAAAAAGCACCAAGAAGAATCAAAACTTCGACACCCTAAACCCACAGCCCATACAAAGCTTCTCCACACCATCTTATATTGAGAAAACAGGAGCCAGATGCCAGCTCCAAACCTGCTTGGGAGACATTCAGCAAACAAACAGCTAAGCAACAAGCATCACACAGTATTCCCACAGCCACCCCTGGGATAAACTGGCATAGCCCCCTGGGCAGACTGACTCCTCCCACCCTGCAAAAAAAAAAAAAAAAAACTGAATAATAAACAAGGAACTGAAAAGGAACACGCACCAGAAGGGGCAGGGTGCTGTAAGCACACTGGAGAAGGGGGAAAGGAGGCAAGGAGCTGATCTCTGGGGGAACTTTCAGTAAACAAAGGCTGGAAAGGCAGAAGGGCTGACAGCAGGCAGGTGATAAGCCTGCCTGAAACAGAGCAGATAGCAGTCCACAAAGCTCATCTCCTGATCCGGAGAGCAACATCCAAAACCAAACGACACTACAAAATTGAAAAACAATCAGCAAACCATCACAACACTCTGACAGCAAGAGGGCTGGCTAATGGTTCACTGATATTGCCCCAGAGAAAGGGGTGAGGCAAAGAAACAAGGCTGCAGTAAAACAACACAGTGAAAACCCAACTCCAAAGTAGGACAGCTGGTGGGCTACAAAGCTGTTTTCTGGAACCTGAGGACAATATACAAACTCAAACTGCCACACCTCACTGAGGGAGGAGATGACTAAGCAGTTGCTACTGAAAGACAGGAGAAAAAAACTGGCAAGACTCCCCAAGTCACCTGACGACACTAAGACAGAGCTTCTGCTTAAGTACCAACACCAGGACTAAATGCTGAAGGATTAATACCAGAACTACTAAGACTAAAATTCTATTGTTCCTGAACCTGGAATTTTTTTATGTGTTTCCTGTTTGTTTGTCTGTTTGTGTTTGTCCACTTCTCCCTGTTGATTTCTTTGGTTTTCTTTTTGTTGTTGTTGTTTTATTTTGTTTTGTTAGCTTTACTATTGTGAGTAAGCTAATACTAAATTACACATAGACCAGGGACAGAAACAGCAAACATATACTAACCTAAAACCCAACATATCCACAAAACAAAATTAAACCAAGGGAAAGAAAACAGGTGACTGAAATCACCAAAAGCCTATCAAGAACATAGTTACACAGTACCAAGTAAAGTGATGGGAAGACGAAAAAGGGATGGAAACCATTCTCCCCCAAAAAATAATTTAATACAGGATTCAGAAGGAAATGAAGAAAACAGATACCCAGTTCCAGACTCCAACAAAACAAAGATAAACTATCCCAAGGAGCCCAATGAAGCCCACAAGGACACCTTGAAAAAAAAAAAAAAAAAAAAAACCCTACAAGTAATCACTGAGAATTTCATGGAGATGTTACTAGACATGGTCAACCAAAACATACAAGAGGCGCTCAAGAAATTCCAAAACACCAAAAATAAAGAATATGAGAAGACACAGAAATAAATAAATGAACTCATAGGAGCCCTAAATAAACGCCAAAGTGAAACTGAGAACACTATAAATAGAGAGATAAAAGAATTAAAGATGAAAACTGACAATACTGAAGAGGAAGTGCCCCATGATATGGAAAGCCTCAGAAAAAAGAATGAAACAGAAATATAAAACACAATGGAAGGCCACTCTGGCAGACTAGAACAAGCAGAAGACAGAATCTCAGAACTTGAAGATGAAATGGAAATTAGAGGAAAAACTGAAGAGCTACTAGTCAAACAACTCAAGACCTGTGAAAATAATCTCCAAAAAACTCACTAACTCCATCAAAAGACCAAACCTGAGAATCATGGCATTGAAGAAGGAGAAGAGGTGCAAGCAAGAGGAATTCATAATATATTCAACAAATGAATAACAGAAAATTTCCCAAATCTAGAGAAACCTATGCTCATCCAAGTACAGGAAGCCTCCAGGACACCAAACAGACCTAACCAAAATAGAACTACCCCACAACACATTATCATAAAAACAACAAGCACAGAGAATAGAGAAAATATTGAAGACTGTAAGAGAAAAAACAAGTAACATACAAAGGTAAAACCATCAAAACCACAGATATCTCAATGGAAACCTTAAAAGCAAGAAGAGCATGGGGTGAGGTCTTCCAGGCACTGAATGAAAATAACTTCAACCCTAGGATACTCTACCCAGCAAAACTATCATTCAAAATAGATGGAGCAATAAAAGTCTTCCATGATAAGCAGAAAGTAAAACAATATATGACCACCAACCCACCACTACAAAAGATTCTTCAAGGAATTCTGCACACAGAAAATGAAAGCAAACAAAATGATGAAAGGACAGGCAGTACCAAACCACAGGACAAGAAAAGACAAGGAAACAGAGAGATTCAGCTCTCCACAACCCCTTAAACAACAAAAACAACTAAATAACTGGATTAAAAAGGAAGATCCAACAATCTGTTGTTTACAGGAGACCCATCTCATCAACAGAAACAAGCACTGGCCTAGGGTGAAAGGCCCTAAGTCAATGGCCCCCCAAAACAGGCAGGAGTAACAACACTTATCTTGGACAAAGTAGACTTCAAACCTACATTGATCAAATGAGATAAAGGACACTCCATTATAATAAAAGGTGAAATACACCAATAGGAAATTATAACTATCAACCTATATGCACCCAACGTGAGTGCACCCAATTTCATCAAATATAGTCTGAAGGACCTAAAAGCATATACTGACTCCAACACAGTGGTAGTAGGAGACTTTAATAACCCCCTATCACCAATAAATAGGTCATCCAAACAAAAACTCAATAAAGAAATTCTAGAACTAAATCACACCATAGATCAAATGGACCTAGCTGATGTCTACAGAATATTTCATCCAACTTCTGCACAATATACATTCCTCTCAACAGCCCATGGAACCTTCTCCAAAACTGATCATATCTTAGGCCACAAAGCAAACCTCAGCAAATATAAGAAAATAGAAATAATCTCATGCATTCTACCTGATCACAATGCATTAAAACTAGAACTCAACAACAAAAACAACAGTAGAAAACATGCAACCAATTGGAAGCTGAACACATTGCTCAAGGGGTCATTGATAAAGTAAAAGAGGAAATTAAAAGGTTCCTGGAAGTTAATAAAAATGAAAACACAACCTACTGGAACCTATGGGATACAGCTAAGGCAGTCCTAATTGGAAAGTTTATAGCCATGAGTGCATATATTAAAAGGACAGAAAGATCTCAAATCAATGACCTAATGCTACATCTCAAAACCTACAAAAACAAGAACAAGCAAATCCCAAAACAAGCAGAAGGAGAGAAATGATAAAAATAAGGGCCAAAATTAATGAAATAGAAACCAAAAAAGCCATACAAAGAATCAATGAAACAAAAAGCTGTTTCTTTGAAAAAATAAACGGATTGATGGACCCTGGCAAACCTGACTAAAATAAGGAGGGAAAAAAACCCAAATCAGTAAAATCAGAAATGCAAAATGGGAGATAACAACAAACACCACAGAAATTCAGAAAACCATCAGAAACTACTTTGAGAATCTATATTTTAATAAATTTGAAAATTTTAAAGAAATGGACAAATTTCTAGATACTAATGACCATCCAAAATTGAACCAAGAGGATATTAATCACCTGAATGATTTATATCGCAAAATGAAATGACATTCATTAAAGAGATTGAAAAATCTACCGTGAAATTTATATGGAAACACAAGAGGCCACGAATAGCCAAGGCAATACTCAGTCAAAAGAACAATGCTGGAGGTATCACGATACCTGACTTCAAACTATATTACAAAGCAATAACAAGAAAAATTGCACTGTACTAGCACAAAAACAGACATGAAGACCAGTGGAACAGAATAGAGGACCCAGATACGAAGCCAAACAACTATAACCAACTTGTCTTTGACAAAGGAGCTAAAAATATACGATGGAGAAATAGCAGCCTCTTCAACAAAAACTGCTGGGAAAACTGGTTAGCAGTCTGCAAAAAACTGAAACTAGATCCATGTTTATCACTCTATACTAGGATCAACTCAAAATGGATCAAGACTCTGAAATCAGTACAGGAAAGAGCAGGGAATACTCTGGAAGTAATAGGTATAGGCAAGGACTTCCTCAATAGAACCCCAGCAGTTCAGCAACTAAGAGAAAGGACGGACAAATGGGACTATATAAAATTAAAAAGCTTCTGCACAACAAAAGAAATGGTCTCTACACTGAAGAGACCACCCACAGAGGGCGAGAAAATATTTGCCAGTTATACATCAGACAAAGGACTGATAACCAGAATATACAGGGAACTTAAAAAACTAAACTCTCCCAAAATCAATGAACCAATAAACAAATGGGCAACTGAACTAAACAGAACTTTCTCAGAAGAAATTCAAATGGCCAAAAAAACACATGAAAAAATGCTCACCATCTCTAGCCATAAAAGAAATGCAAATCAAAACCACACTAAGATTCCACCTCACCCCTGTTAGAATAGCTATCATCAAACACCAAAATTCCACCACCAACAGGTGTTGTGGGGAAAAAGGAACCCTTGTACACTGCTGATGGGAATGCAAGCTAGTGCAACCACTCTGGAAAAAAATATGGAGGCTTCTTAAAAATCTAAACATAGATCTGCCATATGATCCAGCAATCCCACTCCTGGGGATATACCCAAAAGAATGTAACTCAGGTTACTCCAGAGGCACCTCCACACCCACGTTTATTGCAGCAATATTCACAACAGCCAAATTATGGAAACAGCCAAGATGCCTCACTACTGACGGATGGATTAAGAAAATGTGGTACTTATACACAATGGAATTTTACTCAGCCATGAAGAAGAATAAAATCTTATCATTCTCAAGTAAATGGATGGTACTGGAGAACATCATTTTGAACAAGGTTAGTCAGGCTCAGAAGACCAAAAATCTTATGTTCTCCCTTATATGCAGACTTTCAATCTAGGGCAAATGCAGTAATGTTGTTGGATTTGGGTCATATGCTAAGGGGAGAGTGCATATGGGAGGTATGGGGATAGGTAGAAAACCCAAAACATGAAAGCGTTTGATAGCCCCACTGCAGAGGAGCTAATACAGAAACCTTAAAGCAACAGAGTTCAATATGGGAAGGTGAAGAGGTCAGGTAGAGATGAATCAATTTGGGTTGTAATACACTTGTGCATGGAAGCAATGCTAGGAATCTCTCTGTATAGCTATCCTTATCTCAACTAGCAAAAATGCTTTGTCTTTCTTATTATTGCTTATGTCTTCTCTTCAACAAAATTGGAGAAAAGGGCAGAACAGGTTCTGCCTGGAAGCGAAGGGGGGTTGGGAGGAGAGGGAGGGGGCGGGGGCAGGGTGGAGAAATGGCCCAAACAATGTATGCACATGTGAATAAAAAAACTAAAAATAAAAATAAAAAAGAAAGAAAATTCAGAAATAACCCTTTAAAAAGGGCTAACATTTTTCTCTGCAGACAAAGCTATTATTAAGTATATTCTTCATCAATTATGCACACATAACACTGTTCTTCTAGCTAATTAGAGGAAAATTTTGCTGTTCTTAAATTCCTTGGGATTAATTTGAGATTAGAGAAATTCAATTCTAAAAGGCTGCATCCCACAGAATGTTTTTTAGTGGAGATCTTATATATAATCCAATTCAATCTTACAGAAGTCACAAAATTAAAATAGTGATAACAAGATGATCTAAGATCACTGTTGTTTGATGACAGCATGAGGCATCAAGAAAAAATGCTGCCAATTAAACAATCATCTGTTGACTAAAAGATACATTGTGATTTCAGAGACATTAAAAGGTGGGAAAAAAAAAAGTCCAGGTGCAATGGTTCACATCTATAATCCCAGCTCCTTAGGAGGCAGAGATGAGGAGGCTTGATATCTGAGGGCCAGCCCTGGAAAAAGTTAGTAAGACCCCCATGAAATCAGTCAGCTGGATATGATGACATGCGTCTATAATCCCAGCAACACAGAAGGATGTAGTTAAGAGTGCAGGAAGCCACATATAATAGCATCATAGTCTAAGGCCAGTAGGCAAAAGCACAAGTCCCTACCTGAAAAATAACTAAAAAGAAAGAAATTGACTGGCAGAGTGGCTCAAGCACAAAATCCTGAGCTCAAACCCCAGAACCACAAAAAAAAAAAAAAAAAGCACATTAGAAATCAATGTACTCTGTAACTAATAAAGGCTGACTGTAGTGGGATTTACTATGTCTTGGGCAGTATTCTAAGGGCTATGTAAAAACTCCCTCGAGGCAAAAGCAACCTTATGAGACATAAATTCTGTAACAGTGCCCATTCTTACAGCTGAAGCAACTGAGGAAGCAACAGAGTCAGTAATTTATCCAAACTCACCCAGCAGATAGTGGCCAAGCCAGGCTCTAGAGCCCATACTCATAACTCCTGTCCTCTAACCTCACTTCTTTGCCCTTCATCTCCTTATTTATAGATGACTAACACCTGGGTATATATGGAGAGAAGACAGTGATAGGGAAATTATAACTGATTCAGATCTTCAGGGGCCTATGGCTAAGTGTAGGCATCTTTTCCCCTTGAAGTACAGTAAGAAAAAGAAGAACTAGAAAACAGTGGCAGAGGAAGGACAGATAATAGAGACATGGCAGATAAAAGGGTAAGAGAGAATTTAAAAATATAAGTTAAAGTATCCCAAGGCAATAGCTCTGGAATGTAACAAGCTTGTGGCACTGGTTATTATAGAAGCTTACAATTTATCTAGGGCTACAATGTGTTAGAGAGGCCAGAGAAAACTTAAAGAATGTTACCTAGAACATTTAAAAACAACCTGACATGAGCTTAAAACTACTCTAAAAATAAATAAACAACTCAAAACCTATTCCTGATTAAGATACAAAAGAATGAGTGCAGTGTCTTGCTTTGTTTGTAAATTCTAAAGGGACTATCATCAACATAGTTTGAATCATCTTTTCTGCAGTACACTGCTGTAGTTCAAGAGGAGGACTGTCTAATTATGTCCTCAAAAGCCAAAGGCATTTTAAAAACATGCATAGTATGTACTGGTGTGGATGAAAACTTAAAATACATGGCAGATTTTAACTTCAAAGTAACCTTGTTAGCCTTGTTTTAAATGCTAAAAACTTGAAGGAAAAACAAATGTAAACAAGCCTCAAACTAACAAAAAACCCGAGGGGCTAAAGACCATAGTCCTCTACCTGTTTTCTTTCTCTTCAATGAACTCGTGGTCACTGAGTTCTGGGTACTGCACCACATTGACACGGACCGGATGCGCACTTTGAAGCAACCTTCGCACATCCTGTACCCGTAAGTCTTCACTCCAGATTAATGACATAACCTCATGATTCATGTCATTCATGCCGTCATCTTCCTCTTCAGCCTCTGTTCCTGAAGGAACATCTGATGAGAGCACCTGAGTAACAGACTTTATTATAATAATGACTTAAAAAGCGGTTGCGTATAATACAGAACATGAGAACATACAGGCTGATATAACACGACTCTACCACTACAGAGAAGTATGAATTCCACAGCAGGAATGGTGGGGCTACCAAGGCACATTGGGATCCTAATCTATAAACCTGGCTTTTTTGAAGTGGAGTCTCGTGTGTTGCCCTGGCTGTCCCCAAACTCCTAGCCTCAAGTGATCCTCTTGCCTTAGCCTCCTGATAGGACCTATGTACCTAGCTCCTACGAATCTTTTCTAAGAATGCAGTATTCCCTACTTGAAAACATTTTTTTATTGAACTGAGGGGAAAAGTTTAAATTTAGGACAATAATTGGGACTAAATAGTAAAAACTACATATTAATCATTTAAAAAAGGAAACGATTATTCCAAGTGAAATATGAACCCCACTCCCTATTACTAAAGAACCCACACTGACTTAAACAATGTCTATCGGTAAATATAAGCAGAAAGAAAAAACTGTGTAAGGCTATACACCAAGGATTGAAGGAAGTCAGGCAGTATGTTCTTACTTTAGATCTTTTAAGAGAATGGATCATGATTAGTTTTTACTTTTATTAAGTATGTTTCAAATAAAATTTTCATAGAAAGGGACTGAAAACTAAAAACTGCTTAGAAAGAAAAGGACTGAAGACTAAAGCTTTCTTAGAAGGAGATTAACTTCTTGATTGTTATCCTGTCCTTATAATCTCGCCACACACTTTAATATGGGGTTTTACAGTCCAAATAATTCAGTCTGACTGTAACACAAATGGAATCTCTTCATTTTCTACAAAAGAGTTTCACAATCCTTTAATAAAACATTAAGTCCCAGCTGAAATGTTTTTCAACATTCAATAGGCAGTAACATTCTGAAAAAAAAAAAAAAAAACAGCAGGTATGCCCAGATAATCACACTTTGCCCATTAAAATTACTTTAATTCCTGTAGAATACCTAATTTTAAAAGAAACCATAGTCATGCATTCCATAGTGGCATTTCCATCAACAGGCTGCAGACAAGACAGTGGTCCCGAAAGGTAAAACTCATGCCTAGTGACATCTGCAAAACAATGAAGCTGCTCAATGACACATTTCTCCAAATGTATCCCATCATTAGGTGACACATGACTGCATGGTCTAATGGATGAATTGGAGAAAATATAAACCCAAATTGAACTTAAATGGGTTTGGTTATAAAATGTACCCTCAAATACAAGTTAAATTTAGATAGAATGACTTAAAAGGACATTAAATACAGATTAGTGTTTCAGTGTTAATGGTGTTGATCCGCTCTCTCACAGTGAAAAAAGAAACCTAAATTCAGGCTTTTCTTGGTCAAATAAAGAACAAAAAAGATTGATTTTCTGTTTCACACAAGACAAATAGCAATTCAACTAAGAGTTAATTGTTCTTTAGATGCAAATTCATGGATCTTAGATCTTCCTGGAAACTGATTCTGGCACAGAATCAGTCAGGCAATTAGGAGGTTAGAGGTAAGATTTCATATAAGCTCTGAAGATGCATTAATAGCCTAAGACCTAATTCCAAAGCAGGACTGATGGGGCTCCCAAGGTACACTAGGATCCTAATTTTCAACGCACTGACTACTATGTGATGATTCCCAGCCCTTTTGTTTGTATTTTATTTTGCTTGGGCTGGCATTGAACTCACAATCCCTCTGGCCTCAGTCGGGATTACAGGCCTGCACTACCATGACAATTTACTGTTTATTTTTAAAAGTTAACTACAGTTCTAGAAGTTTTAAAAGTTTCTTTCTTAATTTTTATTTTTGTTTATCTATTTATTTACTTTTGAAGTACTAGGGATCAAACCCTCATACATGCTAGGCAAGTGCTACCATAGAGCTGTACCCCAACCGAGTTTTAACTGATATATAATAGTCCATATTTTGGGGGTACAGTGTGGTATTTTAATACATATATACATTGCATAATGATTAGATCAGGATAATTGATGTATCCATCATCTCATACATTTGTCATTTCTTTGTGTTAGGAACATTCAAAATCCTCCCTACTAGCTAGTTTGATATATTCAATTAATTGTTGTCAACCAGTTACTAACAAGTTTCATTTTTAAGTTTTAAAAGAAAGTAACTGTGAAAGAGATAACTAAAAAGTAATAAAATATTTTACTTTTTATTTCTAGGCTTATTGGAGCCCAGTGTTAAACAGATATAAGATAATAAAGGATAGTATTTCACTAGATAACTTAAGACATCTTCTAAGCAACTCTAAAAGGAAAAAAAAATATTTTCCTGGGGCTTCAGTTTTATGTGACTAAACAAACATATTTTAAATGAGTAAAAGGTTAAATTCAAGAAATTCAACACATCAAAAAGTATGAGAGAGAAAACAGTTATACATTAAGCTCAGGATACATGTACTTTAACTCTTCCTATACAGTAACAATCACAGAACAGTTAATTACTGTGAGTTCAAACAAGAACAGTCATGGGTAGTTTCCCTGCTGACTCAGTGCCTGTCTTGCCTCAAGGCAAAGAAAGAGCAGGAAAGACAGAGCAATCCCCAAATCCCCTACTCCCATGTCCAACTTACAACTAATAAAATGTGTTCAATTGTAATCCCATCTGGCATATAATATAAAATACATACCCATACACACACTTGCATAAAGATGTAAAGGAAAATGAAGAACATTTCTACTTTGATTTTATCTGAGGCTAAAACTCAATTTTGAATTTCCTAGGTTGTTACTCACAGATTTCCCTCTGGGTAAGTTTCCTTCACAAGCCTGCTTGGAAAGATCCTGACGTCCAATCAAGAGACAGACAGCTTCTGGCCAGTCTGAAGCAGGCTGCTCACGACAGTGATAGATTGCATCTCTGATGGGAAGAGCAACTCCAAATGGAAGAGTTTCCAAGTCTCTTAAAGTGAATCCTTGTAGTAAAAACAAGGGAGACAGTTTATTTTAGAATTGTCACTTCCCCAATTGTTCTCTGATTGGAAAACATCTATCCTGACAATGAGAAATTAATTTTATTCATCTTACTATAACACTAATAGTTTGACATCAGGTATTAGTATAAATGATCTCTAAAACTCCTATAAACCTACATAAAAAGATGAACAATACAGTTGGAAAAACACATTTCCCAGAAGAAGAAACATAAATGGCCAATACACATATTTAGTGCAAATTAAAACCTAGCAAATATAATTAACACTTACTTGACAATACCAAGTCTTGGCAAGTCTGTGGAGCAACAGTAACTCTCATCCATAGTTAATGGCAGCATAAACTGGTACAACCACTTTGAGAAAGCTGGTATATACAGATAGGTCCACCCCTCTGATTTATCATAGCCACACAGAAACTTGTACATATGTGCACCAAGACACAAGTATAAAAATATTCAACAACAGCAGTGTTTCATTATGCCAAAAAAGGGGTGAGGAGGAGGCAAGCCCCACTATCTATCTTCAATGACCAACTGCTACACGAGTTAACATGAGTGAAGTTTTAAAAAAATGTTGATTGAAGGAAGACAAACACATCTATTTCTAAATATTTACCAAAGTTCAAAAACATACAATACTAAGCAAAATATAAAGATGTACAACTATGAAGAAAAGGAAGGCAAAGGTAACACATGACAGAGGTGGTGTTTATGTACAGCAGTGGGGTGTGCTGAAGAAGAGTATCCTCCAGGAGAAGGTACATAGGTAATATTTTGTTTCTAAAGGTGAGTGACCAATACATCAATATTTTCTTAACCTAAATATAAACATTTCTTTCATATGTATATATTTCATATTTAAAATTTTTTGAATCTTCAGGTTAATTCCTATAACAGTATTCATTATTCACACCATAGAAAGCTGAGCAATTATTGAGGCAAGAGTAAAAATTTTATTAAATATTACATGACATGCAAATGTACCAAACTTATCCAATATTTTTGTCGTAAGTATACTATACGTACAATATAAGACAATTATTGTCATTTTCAAAGTGGCACACAAAATAGAACTATGAAGAACTTTGTTTAGAACATACTGTAGGAAAGAACTCAGAAATATAACATTCATTAAACATTATTTTCTAACATCTTTTTTACTTTATATGACATACTCACTTTATCATGTATCTATGCCACTAATCTTTAATTTTACTTTTTTCAGTTACTTTTGAAAAAAATCTTTAGTGTTTTACTTAATTTAAAACCTAGGAACACAGGCTTGAGGATCAGAAACTACAGAATTCTTTTTCCTCCCTTTTCTTCTTCCCAGCTGAATTTTCATTTATCATGGTGCCTAAACTCCCTGGCCTTTATCCTTCAAATCCAACTGATTTTGGATTTTGTCAGAAATACCATTTCTGTTATCTGGATATCACAAGGGCTTCAAGTTCAAATATATAGTGACTAAGACCAGTTTATATAACCAGAACCTCAACCAGACCAAACTGAATGAAAAATACAGATTTCTTATGCACTGAGAGATAAAAAGCTAGTATCTCAGCTATTATTACAGAGAAGTTGTAAAATTGTCAGGAAAAGGAAGTATGGCTTGATGAAACACAATCTCAATCTTAGGCTTTCTTCATAAAGCAAAAGCACCTCTTTCCTCATGCCTGTCAGTTTCAGGTAGTGTAGCAGATACAGGACCCAGCTCAGAAGTAGCAAAGAAGCTCTTACCTACACTAGTCATCCAGACAACTAATCTTTCAGCCAAGCTAGAAACAGATGTAGAATGCCGGAAACTAAACCTATATAGAATAAAACAATTATTAAACAAAAGAATAAAACAGTATCAACTTAAAAATTTTTTTTACAGTATTGGGGTTTGAACACAGGGCCTACACCTGTGTTTGGATCATCTTAAATTTTAAATATAAAAACTCAACCTGAATAAAATGAATAAAAGTCACCTCTTTTCTTCTTGTTCCACTTGCAGCTTTTGGGGGGCTAAAAGACAATAAAATGAAACTCTATTAGTCATCTCTGTAAAGAATACACACAACATATAACTCAATGTAGGAGATGTTTGGCATAAGAGTTCACAGACAACTCCTAAAAAATAATAAAATAAGCAATACTGAGGCAAGTTAGAAATTACAACAATTTCCTTGAAACTAACATATTCCCTTACAGCCACAGTGAAATAAGACTTTGTTGGATTTTAAGTGCTACTGGCATCTGAAAATCAGTTGCAGATTACTATAGATTAGAATAGTACAAAAGAGGCAACACGTGGCCTCTAAAGCAAGCACTTATGAACATTTTAGCTTTATTTTAATTATGATGTTGACATTTGTAAAAATTTGTTTTGGGAGGCCAACTATTATAACAACTTACTTATAGTTATTTTGGATAAATACTGTGACGCTTCATCAGAAACAGAGCTCTCATCACCAAGGATGTAGAGGGCAATACTCTGAAAAAGAAGAAAATGACCTTATTATTACTTTTACTTTGTTTTTAAATTTTTTTGAGACAGAGTCTCACTATGGATCCAGGCTGTCCTAGAACTTGGGATCCTCCAGCCTCTGTCTCCTCAGTGTTGGGATTATAGGCATGAGCCACCATGTCCAGACTAAACCTACACTGAAGTATAATCAGGAAAAAATTGTAATGTAGGAAGATTTGTTCATTTAAGATATGCAACTAAGAATTTGGACAAACATTATACAATCATGTAACCAATACAGCTCCTTATTCTCCTACACCATCATTGGAAAAAAGTCCTCTGTTTTCTTGAGCTGTAGTTTCATCTGTCCTATAACATTGTGTACATGGAATCACACACATAGTCTTTCATGTTCTACTTCTATAATGTAACATAATGCCTTCATGATTCCTCTACTTTACTGCTTATGTTAGATGTCTGCTCCTACTTATGGCCAAACCATAATCCATTATGCAAATGTACTAAAGTATATATACTCAAAAACTATGGACATTTGGGTTGTTTCTAGTTTATGGCAATTATGAGAAAGCTTTCACATTTGGATCTTTGTGCAGGCATATGTTTTCATTTCTGTTAGGTAAATACTCAAAAGTAGGATTGCTTTGCCTTAGGGCAAACTTTATAAGAAACTGACAGCTTTCTAAAATTCTATATCATTTTTGCAGCCCCACCAGCAAAGTATGAGAGTTTCAGTCAGTTGCTCCATATCCTCACCAAAACTTGCTTTTAGTCTTCCTAACAAGTATCTAGTACAATCCTAGTGGTATCTAACAACTACTTAGAAGTATCTCATTTAGGCTTTGTTTTAAAACATTTTTACTTATAAATGATATGAAAAAAACTGCAAAACAATTTAAATGACTTAAAGTCGTCCACTAGAGGGAAGTAATTTCTTTTACATTTTTATTAGCATATATTAGTCATGGGGGGGGGCTATTTCATTGTGACAGTTACATGTATGTTTATAATATATCTTAATTAGATTAAAGGGAAGTAATTATTTGGTTTGGGTATTTGTTTATTGGGTTTTATTTTCCTGTTGTTGTCTTCACTTACTTCTTGGTAGTACTGGGGTTTGAATTCAGGGTTTGGCACTGCTAGACAGGTACTCTACCACTTTAGTCATGCCCCAGAACAATTATTTAAAATAGAAGAAAGGCAATTATTTCCAATAGCAAATCTCTGCTCACCAAAAAAAAAAAAAAAAAAAAAAAAGGTTCTACTGCACTGCCAAGTCATTACACATTACCACATACATACATTTAAAATGTTAAATGCCTCCAATACATTTTGAAAGTTGGGGGGGGGATTAACTACCAAGCTAAAACATTTCCAAGCAATCACCCTAAATCCCACAGAGCTGTAGCGGTATTTGCTTTAAGGAATTAAAAAAAAAAAAAAAAACACTTCCTTTGATCTGTAAGACAAAAGAAAAACCTTTCTAAAAAGTTCAAAATTATCATATAACAGATACAAAAGTCCATGTTTATTTTTTAATTGTTATCTTTTTGGTAGTACTGGGGTTTGAACTCGGGACCTCCAGTTTGGTAGCAGGTGCTCTCACCTTAAGCCTCAAAAGTGTCTATTTTTAATCTCAGTGTTTTAGATGTAAATCGTATTATTTAATAATACCACAATAAGAAGGAGAGATAAATGAGGTCTCTCTGTTAAGTGATAAACATAAGTTCCTTGAACACAACAGGCCAATAAACGTTAGCTCACTTCTTTACTTTCCCTTCCCTCATTTCAACAAACAGTAAACAGACAACACCATCTCCATGTATACAAAGAACACTCAACAAGAAAGAGCCACCACAGCTTTGAGTCTCATTAGCTAAATATCAAATTTAAAAGTTAAATCCAGGGCTGGCAGAATGACTCAAGAGCTTCTCCCTAGCAGGTGTGTGAGGCTCTGAGTTCAAACCCCAGTACCACCCAAAAAAAAAAAATTATAAAAAAGTTAAATACAAATAAAAACTCATGACAAAACACAAAAGTCTCTGTTGATACATTTTTTTAATAAATACATCCATTAGCTAGCAAGTATAAAGCAATACTGAGAGCATAAAAACAAAATAAAGAAGAAAGCCTGGGAGAGTACAGGAGCCAGTGTCACTGAGATCATTGTGAAAAGATGACCTACAGAATGGGAGAAATAGCTGCAAATCACATGTATGAGAAGGGATTAGTATCTGGAGTACATAAACTCCCTACAATTTAAAAAGAACAGCACAATTAAAAAACAAAGGACATGAATAGATGTTTCTTCAGAGAATATAAATAGCCAATAAGCATATGAAAATTTGCTCAATTTCTCTACTCAGATGCAAATTAAAACCAGTATAATTTAAAAAAAAACAGATGCAAAGTTACAAGTGTCAACAAGGATGTGGAGCAATTGGAACCCTCTCTCCTGCACTGTTGATGGGAATTTAAAATAGTATAATATTAACTTAATAGTATAAAAAAGTTTAGTAAAAAAATTTTCCTAAAAAAGTTAAACATCAAACTACCATGACTCAGCAATTCCATTTCCAATTCCATTCAGCCAAAAGAACTGAAAGCAGACTTAAACATGCATCTACACTTCCAGTGTGCAGCATTATCCACAGCCAAGAGGTGGAAACAATCCAATTACCCATCGACAGAGGAAAAGACAGGATGTGGCTTATCTACACAGTGGAATATTCCTTTTTAGGAATATTCCTAAAAAGGAATGTGATTTTGATAGATACTACAACATGAATGAACCTCGAAAGTATTATCTAAATGAAATAAGCCAAATATTGAATGACAATATTTAAAATAGACAAATATTGAGTGATTCCAATAATACAAGTTACCTATCTGTAATAGGCAAATTCGTAGAAAACAGAAGAGGTTATCAGGTACTGAGACAAAGGGGAATGGGAAGTTATTGCTCATTAATTACAAAATTTACATTGGGGTGATGAAAAAGTTTTGGGTAAAGACATGGTAGTTGGTACTTAACAATACAAATGCATTTAATGCCACTGAATTGTACATTCAAAACTGGTTAAAAAGATGTTACATGTATTTAGCCATTGGTTTAAAAGGAAAAAAAAAAGCAGAATCACTATTCTTTATGCCTTTTTGGACCCATGGTGCACTCGGGAAAGCCCTCCTCAACATGAACAACATGAAACAGAGCAGAATTAGAGTAAAAGAAAAGAACAAAGTACAAGAACATTTATAGTCTGCTAACTTTTGGAAGAATGGTTTTCCTGTAAGACAGGGAGGATTCCCTTTGTGGAAAGGTCTAGAAGAGCCCATAAGCATGCTGCTCTAGGGTCAAGAAACAGAGGGTGCAGCAAGGAACTCAACTTTACCACCGGTTCATTTGCTCCTTTTTTTGTGGGATTTCACCCAGGGCCTTGCACATGCTAGGTGAGCAGGTTACCACTTAAGTCCACTAATGCCCTCTGTTCTGGTCAGTTTGACATTTACATTAACTATTCAAAATGGACCAAGTTCTAAAAATAAAGATATTTTTTTAAAAAATTTTAGCAAGACTTTTGTAACCATAAACAAACTGATTATAAAATTAATATGCAAGGTAAAAAAACTGTAATAGCTAAATTTTAAAAAGAAGAGTAATGGAGGGAAAAGTAATAGCGATTACAAGGCTTACCATACAACTACAATAATCAAGACAATGTAGATAGGCACACAGATGAATAAGCCCTAAAAAAAAAGGCCAGAGGAAGTCCAAATCCACATGAAAATAGACAAATGATCTTTGACAAAAGTACAAATACAACAAAGGACAGTCTTCAACAAATGTTGATGAATAACCAGATACCCAAAAAGAATAATAAAAACCTCAACTTAAATCTCACACCTTATAAAATAGTACCATAATTATAGGTATAGTGGTGCACACCTATAGTCATAGCACAAGGGAGGCTGAAGCAGGAGGATAGTGTAAGTTTGAGGCCAGCCTGAACTAAATAACATGACACTGTTTCAAGGAAAAAAAAATTAACACAATGGATCAGAGATCTAAATGCAAATATGAAACTACAAAACAACCAAAAGAAAACACACGAAAGAGGCTAGGAATGTAACTCAAGTTGTGTAGTGACGACCTAGCAAAAAAAAAAAGCCCTCAGTTAAAACCCAGTACTGCCAAAAAAAGAAAACTAAGGAGAAAATCGTCATGACCTAAAGTTAAATGAAGAATTCTTACACATAACAGTAAAAATAATATCCATAAAAGACAACAGTTGACACACTGGCTTCATCAATAGTAAACACTTTTAACCAGGCATGGTGGTGCACGTCTACAACCCCACCACTTGGAGGTTGAAGCAGGATAGAGAATTCAAGGCCAGCCTGGGCTATGTAGTGAGACTTGGCATTAAAAAACCAAAAATAATTTTTAAAATAAATAAATAAATAAATAAACCAAAAAGACAAAAGACTTAAAATGTTTAATTAATTAATTAAACACTATCACTCAGTGAAACCTTATGGGAATGATGAGACAAGTTCAGCTACAAGCCAGGAGAAAATATGTGCAAACCATACAGCTGACAACTCTCAACACATCACTAAGGAAAATGCAAATTAAAACCACAATAAGCTATCACTACACATCTATCAGAATGACACAAATAAAAAGATGAACAATACCAAATGCTGAAAGGAATAAAGGAAACATTCTCTTAAATATTGTTGGTTGGAATGTAAAATGAATAGCCACTCTGGAAAACAGCTGAGTTTCTTTATACACTTACTGAATGACCTGTCAATCCCATTCCTAGATACCCCTTAAAGAAATGTAAATTGATCTTGACACCAAAGCCTGTACATTAATGCCTACAGCATCTGTATTTATAACTGCTAACAAATGGAACCAATATAACCATTCTGAACAGATAACCAACTATGGTACACTATACACTGGATCACAAACCAGCAACAGAATGCCAGAAGCTGTTGATACAGTGAAAACTTGGATGAATCTCAAAATCATAAGAATCAGTAGAGGGGTGGGGAGATTGTGTTGGTGCAACTATTTAATCTATTATCATGGCAATTTATGAATCTGTATGTTTGCTGAAATTCACGGAACTGTACGGAGAGAGAAAAAAAGTTAATTTTTATTACCAAATTTTGTAAGAAAAAAACACTAACCAAGACCACTCTGAATACATACCAAGACTACTAGTCGGCTTCTTTCACAGATCCCAGGGAGATAAGGATAGGGTGGCATTCCTTCGCCCTGCAGACAAGAGCTCACCCAATGATAAATACTCGGCGGCTCAGCAGTAAAAAATGATGGATGATGCATAAATCCTGTTTGACCTTTAAAATTAGATAAATGTTTGTACAGATACAAAAATATATGAGACAATACTATTTTATTATAAAGGAAAGATGAGCAACAGTACCGGTCATTTCAAAACAACCAGAATAACATTTTTCCATATTCTCCAAAATGCTTCATGTTTTCTGCCATAGTAAGTGGCTGATCATATTACTAAATGTAAATTTAAGTGACTTCTATTTTATCCCATCCTGAATGTAAATTTAGAAAATTCTCATGCATATAAAAAATCTAACCAAAAATTTTTGACCCAATCTTAAAAGTGAAAAACCAGAGGGGACACACAGAATTCAGGAGTTCAGTTCTGTTATAAGAACTGGGTCCCAACTTCAGCTCAAAGTCTAGAATAGTAGAATGGTGGAGAAATGTCCTGTATCTGTACTCTCCCCCATGGTAACCATGAACCCCATGTGGCAACTGAGTGTCTGAAACATGGCTAGAGCACTGAGGAACTAAATTTTTAATTTTAATTAAATTCAAGTAACATATGACTAATGGCTACAAATTGAGCAGCCCAGGTCTACATTAAAGCATCCTTCTAAGCTGTTACAAGTCTGAACCTTAGGGACAGGTAAAGTTTTCCCACACACTGAAGTAATGGTTTACTAAAACTTAGGGATCAAATATTAAATGTACCTGGTGAAAAGACACCTCACCTAATGGTGAGAATGATGCCGTCTGCTACTCATTGAGAAAGATAAGCAAATGTCACTACACTGTTCAGAAAATCTATAATGGCATAGACTCTTACCTTGATCAATTGTGCACATCTGTCCAGTAGCCCTGACAAGTGATGGGTAATCTCTATAGTAATGATCTACATAAGGCCCCAACTGTAAGTCCCTAAAACATTAAGAACATAGAAAAAAGAAGATATTACAGCATTTCTCCTCATATAGTTATCAGTTGTACTTTTCAATTTAAAAAATATGCTTATGAGAAAGAAGAGACAATCAAATCTAGTTTCTTTATTGTGTTTCTGGATTTTACAGTGTCTAGCATGACAAATGCAACCCAATCTCATTTTGCTAGACAAATGATGGTAAAACTAGAGAAAGAGCACTATGGTCTCATTCTTCCTCAGCTATTTATTAACTGTGTTATCTCCAGCAAGCAATCTCTATGAGCCTCAGTATTTTCTTCAAGAAAATAGGGACATATTAGCTAACAAACTGAAAGATTTTTGTTTTGTATTGAGTTTTTAAATTTTTTTTGTAGGTGTTTTTACAGGGGCTAGGGGAGAGTAGTTTGAGAGACAGTGTCTTACTATGTAGCTCGGGCTGGCCTCAAACTCTCTGTTCCCCCCTCCCCAGTTGCAAAGACCTTTGATTACAGACATGTATCACCACACCCAGCTACTCTAAAATACAAACCATTATACAAATGTTAGTTATTTTAGAAAGCCATGATTAACGTGTGGATTATTTAATTACAAAAGGAGCTTCATAACAATTTGTCATAAGTAAACTTGAACACCAATTATAACTGCCACATTGGATCAGGTGTGGTACATAGCTGGAATTTCAACTACTCAGAAGGCAGAGGAGATAGGACTAAGATCATGCTCTGAGGCCAGTCCAGGCAAAAGCTCAATATCCTACCTGAAAAATAAACTAAAAGCAAAAGCACTGGGGGTGTGTCTTGAGTGGTACAGTGGCTCTACTATGTGTGTTGGAAAGACATGGAGGATCACAGAACGCAACAAGGAAAGCACAGCAAAAGGAGCCCACAGCTAACAAACACCACTCATGTTCTCAGAAACAAATGTAAGCCAGTTTCTTCATCACTAGAACAGGGCTAAAACCTAGTTTGTTTGACATTTTATATGTAATCCAAAAAGCACTATATGAATGTATTACCATAAAACAGCAGATGTTATTACAAAACTTCCCCCACAGTGTTGTCAATCATCTTGTCAAAATGAAAAGCTCAGCTTAGCAGGTCATCCCCCTTTTCTTGACTTTCCACTAATCTTGGAACAAAGACTAAAAACCCCAGCACAGCTGACAGGTCCTTACATAAGCTATATATTCAAACAGTTCTTTGATTTACCAAAAATGCTCTGCTTATTTGAGAAAGTAGATTTCAGAAGCTTATTTACAAGGTTCCTATATGATATCATGGAAATAACTCATCTAAGAATTTCTTGGCAATTTCCAAAATACAAACAATACTGACCTTGCCAGCTGAACAAGAAGGTCAACAAGTGAACCAATTCCTTCTCCCATGAGAGTATTCAACTTAAGCTCCTCATAGACAAGGTGAAGAACAAAAAAAATTGCAGGTATGTGAGTAAAAAGAAGAGTAGAAGAATCTAGACTGAGATTGTGTGGAAATTCTTTATCCTTCCCCTTGGAAATTTCCAAAGAACTCAAACATAAAGATCTGTTCAAGAGATGAGACTCAACATTCTGGTGATAGTCAGAATTTAATAAATATTCCCAGTCCTGAGAATAAAAAAGAGGATATTAATTATTTATGTACTATCTCCTTGAAATGTCATGATTAAAAAAGAAAAAAAAATACAAATTTCATTTCACCTTAAATTGATCTAATAATATGAAAAAAAAAATCACAATGTTGAAAAAAAAGCAAACAAAACTACCAAATTGCCAAACTATTTCCAGATGCTAGTGATAATGAGACAGCCACCTTTAAACCCATGTGAAAAAAATCCCCATCACGTTCTTGTAAAGAACAAGGGAGAGGAATCCTACTATTTAAGCTGTAATTTTTTTTTCATTTTCTGTTAGTGCATACTAATTGTTCAAATATATTTTGAGATCATCTCAAAATATGAAGCCAAAACAAAGTTAAACAGGCAGATTTAACGACCACTACACTCAATAACTTGAATTTTGCTAAGAAGGAATGTCTACGTGTATTCAGTAGATACACTAATCTTTCCAGGTTTATAAACTGCCCAGGCAGGTAAAATAATCCAATAACCAACTGAATGTTACACTCAGACTCATTCTAATATATTTCCCAAGTCTTGGGTTTACTTTGATTCCCACTTGTGTTCACAGAGTATAGTATGCTATTTCCAGATCTCAGAATTTATGAGTTTTTATAATGCTTGACAGTGTGCTCTTCTAACTTAAAAGTAACTTTTAGACCAGAAATAGAAAGAACCATAAAATTAAAAAACTGCCAGGCATGGTAGTGCATACCTATAATCTCAGCACTCACCAGGAAGATGGTGAGTTGAAAGTCAGCCTAGGCAACAGAGTGAGAATCTAGCTCAAAAAAAACAAACAACTGATAAACTGGTTTCTAAAACAAAAAACTGTACTTATCAAACGCACTGGTAAGCCACATACTAAGAGAAAACACTGAATGGTACACGTAGTATACATGTACTGAAGTATCACACTGTATACTTCACAAATATGCACCATTACTACATTAACCAAAGATTTAAACAGAATTGTTTAAAGAGAAGGAAATGTTAACTACCCTAATTTGATCATCACAGCTATACATGCAGCAAATTCATACACAATGTAATTATACATCATACTGTATCCCACAAATAATGTACAATTAAAATAACAATAACATTGTAAATGTTGTATGAGTATCTGAAAAGAAAAACAAATTTAAAAAATACTCTCAACACACATAGTATAAGAACTCATATTCAGAATATGGAAAGAACTTCTATAGCTCAGTAAATATTTTTTAAAAATCAAACTAAAAGAATAGTTAGGGCTGGCAGAATGGCTCAAGTGGCAGAGCACCTGCCTAGCAAGCAAGCATGATGCCCTGAGTTCAAATCCCAGTATTACCAAAAGAAAGAAAAAAAACTAATCAAAATAAACTTAAGATGAGGATTTCATTCACAAATATTATGCCTCAATTAAAAAAAAATTTGGATCACTTAAGAATAAACCTACAGAATATGATATAGGAGACTAAGTTAGAGAAACATTACATTAAAAAAGTAAATGTTGTCACTTTAGGTATCAATAATCTATAAGCCCACAATGAGATTATGCAGCAATACATACTTTCATAGTAATTTTTAAATGATTAAAGACAACAGTGAGTAAATGACCACAGAAAACATAACAAATCCTGTTGTTCAAAATAACTTACTTGGTTTAAAAAAATAAAGCAAAAGGTACTGGAACTACAGACAAATTGATAGGAATACCATAGGCATGTGAGGACAGTACAAGTATCCACAAACTTTATGAGCAAGAAATAGTAATGCTTACATCATCAGATCCAGTCTCAGAAGGCCTTGCTTTTTTGGGTGCAATGACTGGGGAAAGTGATCCTTCAAAGTCGAACTGGAAAATAACCCCCAAATAGAAGACAAAATCATAAATTTATTACTGTCCACTAATTAACTTAAAAGGATTCAGGAATCAGTTTTGCTGAGGAAAGCCATCAAAACTCATTTTTCCACCTGGAAAATTATGGTACAAGTATTTTTCTTCTAGGTCATTGTGAAGATGAAATTAAATCATGTATGTCAAGCATCTAGTACAGTGCCTGGACTCACCACAGGTACTACAATGGTCAGCTCCTTCCCTCTCCCACTTCTGTGAACTTAGCAGAATAAGAACATTTAGGAATATCCATAAGAAATACAAAAATCATGTAAGGAGTCACCGGCAGAAATGTTGCAATCTCTACTGCATTACGTAAATGAAAACAAAAAGAGGGTAAATCTGGACAAAGCAAAATGAAATCTATTTGCCAATGAGGACAATTTCATCCCAAGCTTTGATTTTGAAGAAAAAAGATGGCAAGGATTCAACTATGCACTCCTATAAATAAGTGTCAAAGCAACTCAACGTCAAAAACTGACTTTTAAAGCTAATGCAGTGATGTGAGAATATAGCCCCGACTACTTGGAAGGCTGAACCAGAAGAAACATTTAGGCTCACAAGTTTAAGACCAATGTGGGAACATAATAAGATGAAAAAAAATTTTTGTTTCTTCTTCCTTCCTTTAGACTATCACACAATAAGCAAATCATGTCCTTCTTTCCAAAAGAACAAAGGTAGGGTGCTCATTCCTTCCTGCAACACGGAAACGTGGGCAGAACTAGTTGCCTCGTTCTCTGAAAGACACTGGGGTACAATGGTCTATCTTTATCAATAAGTTCCACAAGTCAGTAGCACATAAAACTACAAAATGCTGAAGTGCATTTATCCATAATGTAGAAATCCCCTCTATGTAAGGCTTAATCGTTTCATGTGTAATAAAGTATGGAGAAATTAAGGAGGTATGTAACTTCACTACAACTGTTTAAATAAAATCATCCCTATTCATACAGTAAGATTTTGTGAAGTAAATTGCAGAGGACAATTCTTCAATTCTTTCATATACTACAACAGACATAAGCTTTTACACATAGGAACTGGCAGAGGGGTTCAAGTCACAGAGCACCTGCCTAGTGGGTGCAAACCCCAGGACCAAAAAAAAAAAAGAGTATCTAACGCATCCATTCAACAAATGTTCACTGAGCATCCATCTAAATTAGGCACTACCAAACATCCTGGGAGAGAGTACTGAACAAAATTAAACAAAAAATCCTATCTTTCTAGAATTTATATTCTAGCAGTGGTGGGGAGGAGGGAGGAAAACAGACAACCAAAATTAATGGGTAAAATATGTAGCATACTTAAATAAGTGCAAAGAGAAAACAAACCAGGCAGATGAAGGGGGTGCGATGCTGGCTGTGCTGAGATGGCAGCTGCACAAAGACCTAAGCACATATGCCCATGTCTGGGGTAAGATATTTTGGTACAGGTAACAGCATGTGCAAAAGCTTGAGGCAGGAATGTGCTCAAGTGCTCATGGAACAGAGCTGGAGCAACCAAGGAAAGACAGCAGAGAGGCGTGAGAGGCCTGGGTTACACAGCATGCTGCAGGCCTACGGCTTTCACTCTGAGTGAGAGGGGTGCTTCAGGAAGACCCCAAGCAGAGCAGTGACTGATACAACAGGATGATGGCTGCTGAGAAACTGCAAATAAGAACTGCAAACTATAATGATCAGTGAGAAACTGGAAAAAATTCCCATTTATTTACACAAAAAGAAAACTTCTCAGGAAGCTGGCAAAGGTTCACTACACCACAAACAATCAACATGGTAAAACAAGTACTTTTAAACAATACTAGTAAGAATATCAACTGGATACCCTTTCAAAAGTTATTTGATGTGGTAGTCTATCTAAGAGTCATTTCATGAGAAATGATTATTGGGTGGTTAAAGATTTATGTGAAAAAGGATATTCAAAAATTACTCACAATAAGGAAAATGGGGGACCCAGCATGGTAGTATATTCCTGTAATCCCAGCTACTCAGGTGGCAGAGATTGGAAAGACTGCAGTTCAAGACCAAACCCAGGCAAAAAGTTAAAGACCTATCTCAACCAATAAGCTGGAGTGGTGATGCATGCCTCTTATCTCAGCTATGCAGTAGGCATATGTAGGAGGATGAAGGTCTGAGGCCAGCCCTAAACAAAAACATGAAACCCTATCGGAAAAGTAACAAAAGTCAAATGAGGCTGGCAGCATGGCTGAAAGTGGTAGACTGTGTACCTACGAGTGTGAGGTCCTGAGTTCAAACCCAAATACCACCCACCCCCAAAAAAAAGGATTAAAAATTCAAAAAGGCCCAATTATTAGCTATTAGTTAGTTATGATAAAACCACACATCATAATAAAAATGAAAGGGGTTTTGTAGAGAACTTTTAATGATATGGGAAATTTCCACTGATACCATTTTCATCTAAAAGGCAACATCAAAAATGTTTAGGGCTGGGGATGTAGTTCAGTGGTACAGCTCTTGCCTTACATGTGCAAGGCCCTGGGTTTGACTCCCAGCACTCCTCCCCCAAAAAAGTTTTGGCGAGATTATCTCTGAGTACTACAGTATAATAATTTTCTTCTTATTCTTCCATTTTCCAGTCTTCCTCAGCAAGCATATATACTAACAAAATGAAGAAGAAAATGATTTTTTCGAATGGATTCACTAGCACTATGCTAAAATGCATAGAGAGGCTTAGCTGGGTTACCAGGACAAAGGTAAGTGTGTTCTTGAGTGCCTTCTTCAGAGTGATCCAGGCAAGGCTATCATGGGAGTGATCTCCAGAGCAAAATGAAACCAACAACACTGAAAGGACTGTACAGAGATTTTGTAAATATTCTATGAAAGGCCTGCAAAAGAGGGTGAGGGGGTACAGCTTTGTATCACTAACAGGGCAGATACTCAAGTTAAAGTGCTTTATATTCCCCTCAAATCAAATCAAGCAATACAGTCATGTCTCCAGAATTGTCCTATAAAAAGACAGACTGTCTTCAGAAAAGAATATTAAGCCATGAGCCAGGAACCAGCAGCTCATACCTGTAATCCTAGCTACCTGGGAGGCTGAGATCAAACCAATATTGAGTCATGAGTCAGAAGACACAAGTCTAGTAATTGTACTAGATACTTAAACTGCTTTTGCCGAAAAGCACTGACTTGGGCCCACGAATTAGCTAAAAACTGGAGAAAAGCCTGGCATCCCTGCCTTCATTTTGTATCTGTCTTTGTTCTAAGCCATTAACTTTGCAATCATCTTGGATTCCAGGAAGGACAGGACTAATAACATCTTTCTAACAAGGAACAAAAACTACCCCTAAGAAACAATAGAGATTCCTCAGGATAGACCACCTGCCAAGCAACAAGAACCCTCAAATATACTTTCTCTGGAACCCCTCCCAAAACAAGGACTAAGATAATAATCCACCTAAAGACTACACCTATGACAACACTGTTTAATAATTATGCATGCCTCTTCCCCTGCCCCCAAATCCTCCTCCTACTTAAACTAAGGCCAATATCTGCTGGGGAGGATAGCTGAAGATGAACTGAAGTTTACCATGCCATGTTAATAAACCTCCTTTCTCTGCCATTCACCATGTCTCTGCATTTGATGTATAGGGATGAGTCAGACCTAACTGGAAGCCCAGGAGTTTAGAAGAGGTCTAAAACTCTGGTTTCAGAACCAGTTGTAAGCAAATCACAAGTCTGTGCTCTGTGATTGTTTTTTTATTAACAAAATGATGACTATTACCAATCCTAGCATAAGTCACAGTCATTTTACAAAGATGAAGTGAAAAAAAGTCAAATGTGCTTTAACACATGTAGACTCAGTAATTATAATTACCAACAAAATGTTATTAAGTACTAACTATTTGATTTACAACATATAAATACAATAAGCTTTGGTATATCTACATTAAACTTACCAATTATGCTATACTCTGAATGTTACACTATCAATTATGCAAAAGTAACATAACATGAATTATTGTAAGAGAATAATTCACGAAGAAGACAATGTGTTTACTTACATTTCTGGTCCATGCTAAGCGGTCTGTGTTATAGCCCATCATGTTCAGAAGACAAATCACAAATAAATTCCACTCTGAGTGATAACTGGGTCCTCCGGGAGCACTGTGGACATTGTACCACTTGACAAGCATCTGAACTGCTATTTCTTTTGGCAGGATAAACTTAATTGCTTGTAGACATGTTTGTACTATCAAAAGCAAAGACTAAGTTAAACATGAACTTACGCATGCATTTCTTCCCTCCTTTCAAATAGGAAGTTTTAAAATTACTACTATGTAAAGGTCAACTACTAAGAGAACTGTCATTAAAGAGTCAATGAGATGCAAATATTACCTCACCAATCACCTGAAACTTAAACCAACTATTGAAATCCAAGAGGGCTCACAAGAACCCTCTGAGGGCAGCTGTTTTATCATTAATTTTGGGTCAGAAATAAGGTGAGCAAATAGCCCAGTTCATCTGAGACAATCTTGACTTACATCTAATGCCCAAAAATTGCTCCCCTTTTACCTCTCAAAAAACATCCTACTTTGGGCAATTACAGGTCACACTATGAAAAACATACAATTTCTACATTAATAAATTTACACTAAATAACTGCCTACATATTTCAGAAGATATAATATTCAACATCGGAATCCATAAACAGCAATGATTAGATATCATTACTACTTGTCTTTTGGGTTTTGTTTGGCTTAGTTTTTTTTTGGTGGTGGTATGGGGTTTGAATTCAGGGCCTCACGCTTGCTAAATAGGCACTCTACCACTTGAGCCACTCAACCAGTTCTTTTTGTTCTTTGGTTTTTTTGGGGGGGGGATTTGTTTTGCATTATTAGAAGTCTATTAAGAGTGAAAACCCTGTTTATGAAAGTTTTATAACTGCTCATTATTTCTAACAACATTCATTCAGTTTCTAAAATGTCTTCACCCACTCTGCCATCAATGGGTCAGGGTAAATGCTACATAATTTATACCTTTTTTTTTTTCCTCTTTTTTTTGGCAGTTCTGGGGTTTGAACTCAGGGCACTCTATTGCTTGAGCCATGCCTCTACCCTATACCATTCTTAATGACATTAGCATGAACATTAGTTACAGATGATGAGAGTAGTGCGGGCTACAGCCTGCTGTGAAGGGCTTGGATCTTTTAGTAATAAATGGCTCTAAACTAACATTTGTGCATTCTCATTTCCTCTCTTTACAGCAGTCTTTCTTTCCTTTTCTACGATCACTGTTACTGAGTCCAGACTCAGTAACATATTCTCTACATCAATTTATTATGTGAACACATACACAGCAAACCTTGGAAACAAATGGCAATAATGTTTAAAAAAAACCTAAATGACCAAGTATGTCATAGTTGATCCAAAATAAGTATAAACCAGATGTTGCAAGAGTGTCTGAGGAGCCATTTATAAGTACATAAACTTAAGTGCATGAAAACGTGGCATTATTTGGCTGTAAAGGTATACAATTTTATTTTATTTTATTCCTCCCTTATTATTTGCTTTTATTTGTTTTGCTTTGGCTTATTATTTTTTAGATACTTGGTCTTTCAATTATTGGCTAAGGGTCTTTTAGAAAAGCAAGGAATCTCTATATAAATTTGGAGTATAATTTACCACATCCACAAAAAAAATTCCTCAAATAAAAAAATCTAAGTCTACAATCTACCAATGCCTTGTTTTGGCAGTTAAATTTTGAAACTAACATCTATCATGAACTTTCTTATATCATAGACATTCTCTTCTTACATTTGTTAGCAAACTCAATTTTAACATTTTACAATTCTGTGTTCAGAAATGTTCTGTGTTCAGAAATGTTCTGTTAGTATTTTACAAACTGCATTTCATTAGCAATTCAAGCAAATTCCAACATTGATTAAAACACTTCTGATTATATTTTGATTCTAATACTAACTTTTACCCAATCAAGGCAATTATGTTAATTGCACAATTTATTTAAATATTGAGAAAATTACTTTAGAATTAAAAATATTAAATATAGCCAGGTGCTAGTGACTCATGCCTGTAATCCTAGCTGCTTGGGAGGCTGACAGCCCAAGGATCATGGCTTGAGGACAGCCCAGGCAAATGGTTCAAGAGACCCTATCTCCAAAATAAACAGAGCAAAATGGACTGCAAGTGTGGCTCAAGCAGTAGCAAGGAACTCTAAGAGCTCAAACCCAGTCACACTAAAAAATAAAAATAAAAATATTAAATATGCCAACAAATATTTTAGTTGCTTAGGCTCCCTAGTTCTCAAGATTTTCTTGCAAGAAGCATGTCTCTATATGGTGATCTTACCACATGATGCTTCTCACAGAATCCATGTATAGTAGCACACACCTGTAGTTCCAGCTACTCAATAAGATGAATGAGGAGGATCAACTTGAGTCCAACAGCAGCCTCAGCAACATAGTGAGACTCCATATTATTCCCCCCCCTCCAACAAAAAAGAATATTGCTGGGAATAATAATCCCAGCTACTCAGGAGGAAAACATTGTGAGGATCATGGTTCATGCCAGCCAGTGCAAAAAGTTAGTAAGACTCCATTTCAACATGGTGGTGCACACCTATGGTCCCAGCTACATGGGAGGTGAAGGTAGAATTCTGGTCTGAGACCAGCTCTAGGCAAAAACACAAGACACGATCTGAAAAATAACCAAAGCATAAAAGGGCTAGGGGCATGGCTCCAATTGTAGAATACTTGCCTAGCTAAGTGCATGGCCCTCATTTCAAACCCCAGTTCTGCCAAAATAAAATTTAAAAAGAATAAGGAATATCACACAAACAGAATTAGCATATTCAACTGTACTGCAGCCTCGGAGCACACACGAAGTAGTCATGGGAACCATTCCCCAGTTATTTAGCTTCTCTGCAAAGTGAAAAACCTGATCCAGTGGCTTCAAGAACAAAATAATTTTTTAAACCCCAATTACTGGTGTAAATCAGCAACCGCTCCAAATCTTACAAATCAAACTGCAAACACATGAAAGTGTGATCCGACTCTCAATTGTACCTAATTCTGAGGTGGCAATTTCAGGAATAGTGATCCGAACCATGGAGCCATTGCTCAGTTCCTACAGAAAAGAGTGGAAAAAAACAAGAAAAGATGAAGAGAATTTGAGCATTCTAAGTCTCTAATGTTTTAAAAAAAAAAAAAGATGGTGTTTTACGAGACAAAATAATTGATAAAATTAAAAATGGTATTTTTAAAAGAGAAATGAATACTTCCAACTAAATGTGCTTATTTGTAAAGCAATTCCAAAAATTGCTATTTTAATTAAAAAAGTGTTTAATTTCTACCAAAACTAAGAGTCACCATCATCAAAAGCAGGTGAATCATTTTCAGTGAAGACAAAGATCATGTCAATATGCAATTCAACTGATAAAAGACACTTATTTTCAATAAATTTTTAATAGTGAAATTAGAAAACTTGAGTATTAAAAATTAAACAATGCAAAAAGTTATGGCATATTCTAAAAATCATTTTTCAAACAAAATTGTGCACCCTGACAAATTTGAAATATGAGCCCCAAGTTTTGGAAAGCTACCTAATTATTTACAGATATACTTACTAGAGTTACTCTATTATGGACCGGATCTCTGATAGAATGAATGTAAGTTCCAAGCTGCTGGAAAGTACAATCCTCATTATAGAGAGAATCATGAAGTTTTGAGGAATCCCTCAGTTCCGGAACCGGGGACAAAAGAACAACCTATAAAAAGTCATAGATACAATACAAATGAGGTACTTTTTGAGAAATTAAGGATAAAAACTTAACTATTTCTTTTATGGTCTAAGAAATTCTATGTGACAATGTAACTCATTCTGCTCCAGCTATGATGAGCTACCTTGCAGCAGACCAAGGTCTTCACAGAAAACAACTAAGAAAGGTGGATGAAACAACAAAGCACCTCACTAATGGCCTAGAATGCCAAAGGCAACCGGGACTTGACAGACGGAGATACAGGTGAGAAGGGACCACAGGGCCAGGCACCAGTCACTCATGCCTGTAATCCTAGCTACTCAGGAGGCAGAGATCAGGAGGATCACAGATCAAAGCCAGCCCAGGCAAATAGTTCTTCAAACCCTATCTCAAAGCACCCTTCACAAAAAAGGGCTGGTGGAGTGGCTCAAGATGTAGGCCCTGAGTTCAAACCCCAGCACCAAAAAAAAGAAAAAAAAAAAAAGGGGGCCATAGGGAGGGGCAGACCTTCCCGAACTGCTTTTTCAGCTCCAGACATTTGCCTTTACTGGGGAGGGTGGGGTGCATATGAATAGGCTGACAATGCAAGAAACACTATGGCTAACAGGAAGAGAGCAGCACTTTGGAGACAGTGACCATAATTTGAGGCAGACAAAACAGACAGACAGACAGACAGACGGCTTCTGGAACTAAGAATCTAACGAGAAGTGAGAACAATGAAAAAGCAAAGAAATGAGACCACTGGCATTTCCCCTATAGACAAATATTTATTTGAAAATAAAGAATAAAAATTATTTTCTTAACTACAGATATGCAAACAAAAAATTTAAATGAATTTTGTCACTAACTGGATGTGCTTCTAAACTTAAATTTCTAGTCATGATCACTGACCCTTTTTGTATCCCTATGATTCAACTTATAGGACATCTCTAAATGTATAACCTTATCAACACTGAGAGCTAATAAAGACTACAATGCAGTTACTACAATCCAGCTTCTATCAACAGTTACCAGGAAAAATCCAGTCCCATTGGTCCTAACTCTATGTGCCTAGTAGCATAGTCTTCCAAAACAATGGGAACATTGTCCGCTGATATGTTAGATTATGGTTTCCTGTAACCTCACAGCTAGCAAAGACACTAATCATTCCTGGATTTATTTACAAAAGTAGTAAACCATTTTCATCCCAAAAGGAATTCTTCCAAACTGTACAAAACCCTCAAAGTTCTCCAGCTCCCCTTCTGGAAGTTCTGCAAATGTGCTGACTTGAAAGGAAAAAGGTCAATGTTGTACATGTTTAAAAATAAAATTACAGCCTAGACATTACCCAATTCAATTGCCAGCATTAACCTTCCCTTGAACTGCCCCCAAACATCTGCACTTAAATGTCACTCAAATACAGAACACTTTTCTCTAGCCTTCCTATTCTGGTAAACACAGATGCTACCAGGTTGCTCAGAGAACTGAGCCTTGTTTTCCAGCACCTCTTCCCAGCCAGAATCACAAAAGCAGTCAGCTGACAACAGGACATTTACACCTTTTCAGTCACTTCCCTTCTTTCTACCATACAACCCTACCCCAGAGTCCCTTTGCATCACTTACACATTGACACAGGCAAACTTTCTTTCTTCAACAGTTTACAGTTTTCATTGTAGAGGTCTTTCACTTCCGTTGTTGTTTATTCTCAGGTATTTTATTTTTTGAAGCTATCGTAAGTAAATAATTACCTCCTACATTCTTTCTCAGTCTGTTTATTGTTGGCATATAGAAAGGCTACCAACTTTTGTAAATGGATTTTGTATACTACTTATATTTTTTAAGTATCCATTCCACAGATCTGTTGACTCCTTAGCTTGTGTTAGGAGATGGATGTACAAAGATGCATATGAAGTGTTCTGCACTCTCCTGCCTCCATGGATGAGTCCTCTCTGTCCAGAATTCCCTCTCACATTTACAAATGTCTTCCTTATTCCCAAGGTCTAGGCCAGGTCTGATTGTCTCTCAGAGATGAGGTTCGGGTTTGCCATGCCATTTCATCAGGATGTACCTTCCCCTCAGTGAAACTACTATAGTACGTTTTGTTCCTCATTCTGAAGTCTTTAACAGTCTACCTTAAATTATAGCTTCTTATGCAGATAGCACACCTGTGCCACCCAAGTAAATTGTGAGATCCTCAGATAGAAAACAATGTGTCCTATTCATCCCTCCACAGGTCTGAAGATTACCACACACAAAACTAGTCAATGTATGGTAACTCTTATTTGTGTTAGAAAATAATTATTCAGTACATACTTTCTAAAATTAAGTGAACCACTGAAAGAACTAATCAATGTCTGACAGGATCCAATCCATTTCTTACCTCATCCAATGATCCAAGTAGTTTGCTAAGAGGCTTAGGAGTATTAACACCATCAAGGGGTGTACTGGGCCGAGGCATTGTGTTGGACATTGTCAGGGAAGGAGCTGGCAGTCCAGGGATAAAAACCTTTCCCACCTTTGAGCAACAACAACAAAAAAAAAATGTGGGGAAAGAAATAATGGCTTTGATGAAAGCATCATAAACAAAATATCAAGACATGTAAGCACAAAGTTTTTTAGATATGTCAAAATTTATGCTCACCAAACACAGCTAAAACCCAAACACAATTAACATTTTAACAGTCTTCCAAATTCTACCACTCAACTGGAAAATGCTGGTACAATTTCCCTTTCATTATTAAGGACTTTATTTATTTATTTATCTATTTATTTATTTTGCAGGAAAGGGAAAAATGTTAACATAGTCAAGACATTATACAAAATTCTATATACTCTACACCTTTCTCTGCTTTATAAGGTGGTAAAAACAGCAGGAACTCTAAGCTTTCAGAGACTATCAGCATTAATCTTCTTAACTAAGTCTTAAGGCAGAAAGAAAGAACACCAATTAATACCCAAGAACTAAATAAATGATGCTGAGAGATCCTCAATAAATTAAATCTGCCCTAATTCAAACTGTGCTCTCCAGCTCACAATCTCTGTCTTCCACCATAAATACATCATTTAAAAGCTAATAAAATAACAGAAGTTGCCCAAATAAAATCCTTAGGCTTAAAAACAAAAAGAGCTGTGAGAACTACTATGCATATGTAAATTTTTAAATGCTGTATGAGCCCTGCCCTCAGTTCTCAGAATGATTCTACATTATTCCTCCCACTACTTACCATGCAAACAAAAACAAACAAACGAACTGCTCAAAATTTATAATACAACTAACAGAAGACTTTGAAAAGGTAGAGAAAAGAATGCAAGCGACCTAATGATAAATTTGGCAGTTTTGTTTTGTTTTGTTTTTCAGTACTGGGGTGTGAACTCAGGGCCTACACCTTAAGTCATTCCACAGTCCTTTTACATGACGAGTTTTTTCAGGATAGGGTCTCGCTGGCTTCAAACTGCGATCCTCCTGATTTCTGCATCCTGAACAGCTAGGATTACAGGTTAAGCCACTGGTGCCCAGTGCTTTTTTTAAATTAACTTAACACCTTACATAACCAGGCCTGTATTCTGCAACCCAAACATGCCCTAGGCATACACAAAAAAAGTCCCAAGAAACCTTACTTTTTCTACTGAAAGTGTTGGCAAAAGAGTAACCAAGACAAAAACACTTTCAACACATCTGGTCTACTTGAAGCAACCACTACAAAACAGCTGCACTACCCAACCAACACAGTACTACCCCAATACACACAAAGACCCCTCATCAAGAATTATGGCCTGAAGAGGCCCTGTCCTTCATTCCCACTGTGCAAGGAATAGGTGGTGTCCCACCCCTAGCACAGAGACTAAGGGCTGGGCAGGCATACATCCCTGCTCTGCAATGGCATCTGTCCCATACTCATCAGGCACTGAATTGGAGAGACTGTGGACAGATCACTGACTTTCACTGTCGGGAGACAGCAACTCTCTACCTCCTATCCTATGCAGCAACTGTGAAGTAGAGAGAAGCCTTGCTTTCATCCTTACCCTGTAATAACCAGGAACCATACCAGGAAAAATATAGATTGGAACATAATTACAAGGACCTGTATGTCTATATATTTAAGTCTTATAATATAAACTTTACAAATTGATATTATTCTAATACAAATTTTACAAATGTTGAAAAAGTGAGATGCAACAAACACATACTAGTTTTAACATAAGGAAACATCACCAACACGGTCCTTGCCAAAGCTGCGCATGTATTAACTTCAAAACTAGTTTAATTAACTAACTTAATTTTTTTTAATAATAATCTACCTATACTCATTTAAGGTTCCCCATCTATGCCAGGTTCACCGTGCAATGCATTTAATGCCAATGAGCCCCAGCACCCCAAATTATGAGCAGCCTACACTGGAAACTTCACTTTCCACTTAACAAGAATCTTCTGCTAAATTGTTCAGGCAGGATAACAAACTTTAAATAATGTCTGTAGCCCATTAAAACATGATGTGCTACTTTATACTTACCCGAACCACTCCTGTGTATAGTACCAGGTTTCCACTGCCTTCCAGCACTAGCATGGTGTCAATCTTCTAAAAAAAAAAAGACAAAAAATTTATTTTCCAACCTAAGCAAATTAACATAATTTTCAGCTGAAAAATCTGATGAAGCATAGTAATTTTCAATTTCTCAAGAAATGTGCCTGAATTTACCTCCACTGGTGCTGCGTCCTTTGCATGTATGCTGGTGACAGAACCAAAGATGAGCTGGGTTTTGTCATTACTTTCTTGAAACTTTACACAGCTAAACATTAAAATAAAAAAGAAATTATCTATTCATACATAGAACAACCTGTACAAATCTTAAGTGTATAAGACTGAATGGAAGAATACAATCTTAAAAGGTTACATATCGTTAAATGATTCCATTTACATAAATTCTCAAAAGGCAAAATTAAAGAGACAGAAGCCAGATACCAGTGGCTCACACCTGTAATCCTAGCTACTCAGGAGGCAGAGATCAAGAGGATCACAGTTCAAAGTCAGCCTGGGGAAACAGTTCATGAGCCCCTATCTCAAAAAAACTTATCACAAAAACAGGGCTGGCAGAGTGGCTCAACTGGGAGAGCACCTTCCTAGCAAGCATAGCAAGCATGAAGACCTGAGTTCAAACCCCAGTACTGCCAAAAAAATAATAATAATAATAGAGATAGAGAACAAGTTTGTAGTCACTGGGTTGAGAGTAGGAGGGGTTGCAGAAGGGACTATGATATGACTGTCACAAAGGCAGTCATATGAGAGTGGCACAAGGGCAATCTTTAAGGTGATTAAGGTATTTTGTATCTTGACTATGAGGGAATTTACTCAAATTTACACATGAGAAAATGGCATGGAACCACAAACATATGCACACACAAATGAGTACATGTAAAACTTATGAAATCTGAAAGATGATGTGTGGATCATACTGATATTAATTTCCTGATTTTTATAATGTACGATCATTATATAAGATGTTACCATTAGGGAGAAAAAGTCTGCAGAGTATAAAGGACTTCTCAACTATTTGGAAACCTCCTATGAGCTATAGTTATTTCAAAATGAAAAAGTAAATAAATGGGCAAAGCAAGACATTTCACCTAAAAAGGTAAATGAGTGGCACCACAGGAGAAGTGGTCAACGTCAAAAATCATTAGGGAAATTCAAACTGAAACCACTTCACATCCACTAGAACAGCTACAAAGATACCAACAATATACAGTGTTCAGGATAAAAAGAAATAAACCTTTGTACTTTGTGGTGGGGATATAAAATAGTACAGCCTATTTGGGAATCAACTTGGAAATTTCTCATAAAGTTAAACCAATCAACCCAACAATTCCTCTCTTAGGAATCTACCAAGACAGATGAAATATATATTCACAGAAAGACTAGATTTTTGCTCAAAGGTTCAGAGTTCCATAATTAACAATAAAAAAGGTAAGCAAAATGTGGCATATCTATAATAGACTACTAGCAGCAATATGAATGAGGTACTCATCCATGTTAAAATATGGTGGATCCTAAAACCATCATATGAAGTTGAAAAGGCTGATCACAAAAAGCTACATATATGGCTGTATAATTCTATTTATATAACATGTCCAGAAAAGACTAATTCAGAGAGACAGAAAGTCCATAAAGTGGGTATTTACATTAACAAAAGGAGCAATACGGATTGTAAATGGGCACAAAAGAATGTTTTTGGGTAGTAGATTATGGTGGATTATGGTAAAAGCTGCATAACTCAGTAAATTTACTAAAAAATCATGCAATTGTACACTTAAAGTATGTCAATTAAATGATATATAAATTACTTCTCAATAAAGCTAAAGAAAAAAAAACAAAACAAAGGAATTTATACACAAATACTGGGAACTATAAGCACTTACCGTAACTGGAACTGGGATTCAACTAAAAAGCACAAGAATTTTTGTCCACATAGATCAGATGTAATAAACACCTTTGAGGCCTGTGAATTTTTCTCTCTGAAATAGATATATTAATAAAGAATATATTAATTAATTAATTAAGAATATATAATAAAGAAACTGTCAGATTGATCCAAAAATCTGTATCATTAACTATTGAAAATCTCTGAAAACATTCTGTAAGAAATCTAAAAACTACTTGGATCAAGAAATAACTTTGAAGACACAAAAATACTTCTACGAATTGAACTTCATGATCGGTGTATCTAATCAACCATCCTTTTCTTCCCAAGGATAATCCCTCACATTGGGCTCCTTTCAGGTTTACTGTTCCATCAATCATTTCCTCTCTCCGTATTTTTAATGCTTTCCCTGCATTTAGTTCTAGTAGCCTATTTTTTTTCATACTAATAATCTTGAAATAAGAATATGGGCCAAATATTTGATGATAAGAAAAGGGCTTAATTTGGTTGGATATAAATAAAAATAGTAGTGTGGTTAGGTGATAAAATGTTCTTACTCTTAATATACACATCACAGGCTCTCCAGGAGCCTCAGAAGTCTACTTCTACACACTCCTTAAATCCTAATACACCTCTCTTGCTTCTAGCCACCATTTTATCACCCTGTGGCTTCACTGTTCATCGCTCTGCTCTATCCTCTGCATTCACAAAACACAAATGTAAGTGCCACCTTACTGCTCTTATCAAACAGAAGAGTCCTAACGGGCAATCCCTATTTCAAGCCAGTTCTTTCTCAGCTCTTTCACTTCCCCTCACAAACCAAACTGAGAATATTTGTAATTCCCTGAATATGCCACACACTTATACTTCTGAACCTTTCTTCTGAATCTAGTTGTCTACTGTGGCCTTCCTCACTCTCCTAGCCAGCAAAAACCTATTCATCTTTCCAGAGCCCTAACCAGCAGAATACTAGGCTCTTCTATGTCACCATACTGTAGCTATCTCTCTTTTCAGGACAGGGACAGCAACGTGTTAGCCTGTTAGTGAGCACACACACTGGCATATGGCCATATGACTGAATTAGTGATTTGCAGGTTTGTTTTTTTTTGGGGGGTGGTTGGGGTGAGGAATGTACTGGTGTTTGAACTCAGGGCTTTGAGCTTGCCAGGAAGATGCTCTACTACTTGAGCCACAACTCCAGTCCTGAATGAATTATTAAAGAAAATATAAAAAGTGAAGGGTCACACAGAAGAGTTCTAAGCCATGTTTCCCAAAAAGTAGAGCTGACACTCAACTAACATGAAGATAAAGCTTTAAAAAAAAAAAAAAAAAGCTTTAAAACTCAAATTAGTTGAGTTTTAATCTACAGAAATTAGGTGTTTCTCCCTAAAACATTAAACACCTCATACCTCAGAGATTTTACTAAGTTAAAACTTACTTTGTTTTTGTTTTTCCCCATGCTGGGACTTGAATCTAGGCCCTCATGCATACTAGGCAAGCACTGTACCATCAGCGGCACCCTTAGACTTAATACCAAGCATTTTCTAAGACTTTTAGCAATGTTTTTCTTTAAATATAAAATTATGTACTCCAAACCTTATGTTAGTAACTGTTTCAGTCCACAAGTGATCAATGCACAATTCAGGAACAATTGGCTCTGTTTCTGGTGCAAGAAAGGAGCCATTAGAATTACTATTTGGAGAATGAGAAATACTGTGTCTCTTTGGAGATTGATTATGGCTTGAAAGGTTGAACCTTTGCACCCCAGAAAAAGAGTGCACACCCAAGGCAGGAGAGTGAGCACGACTGCAAAATAACCAGAGAAGGGAAGGTGTCACAATTAGCAATTGAGGCTCATACAACACACGTTCCAATACATACAATTCCCAAAATTCTATAGACAGAAACACTTTCATGGCATAAGCCCAATCAGAATTTTTTTTTTTTTTTTTTAAGGAATGGCTATTTAAATGGTTCATGCCCATGTGCTTCACTAAAGTCTGAGACGTCAGAATTCTCACTAAACCAATACACTCTTTTTTGGTTTTGAAGAAACAGATGTTTGAACTCAGGGCCTTGTGCTTGCTAAGCAGGTACTTTATCACTTGAGCTATGCCTCCAGGCCACAACACAAATTTTTAAAACTAAAAATTAGTTCATATTCTTCTTCAGAAACATGAACTGTTTATCTTATTCAGAAAAGTCTATTTAAACTAATTTATTGTACAGTCAGACATATACAAACCAGCAAAACTAAGTCCTTATAGCATCATATATATGTATATCAATAAAAACAGATACCTATATATCAGATAGTTAGAAAATATCAATTACCAAAAACAAAAGAAAAACAAAAAATGAATATAAAGGGAGAGACAAAGGAGAATGATGGAGGGAGTGAATTTTACTAAGATACAGTGTAAGAACTTTTATAAATATCACAATGTACCCCCAGTAATACAGTAATAATAATACAGTAATAATAATAAATATGTAAATTAAGGCAAAAGAAAACTACAAAAATAGTTTTAGAATTAATATTCAAACTGCTGCCACATAGTGGTAGAAATAAAGCAATCTTGTAATAGCATAAACAGTTTCTAAATATGATTCACTGAAGAAACGTGACAGAGCAGGCTTAGAAGTCTTAGTAAAAGCATAAATAGGACTATGGCTATTTCTACTAAAAAGTACCCAACAGGTATCAAAAGAAATTTTAAATCCTTCAACACATAAGAGAAAGCTAGAAAAGCAAATATCCACTGCTTGGGATATCGTGTTTTAAAGGAGGAGACACGTCCACCTTAGAGCTGCCATGTTGGAAATGGAAGGTGAACGAGAGTGCAGACTGGGTGATGAGGCTGAGCGACTCTGGCTGTGAATGGAGGAGTAATTCTGGAAAGGGGAAGCCACGGGGGAATCGCCCTTAGAGAGGCTTCTGAGATGTGCAGTGAGGGAGCTGCTCGTGACTGCGTTCTGCGGGGTTGCCCCCTGTTCAGAGAACTTTAAAACAGCATTCTCTTCCTTAAGTGAAAATGAAGAGGAAAAATAAAAGACAGGAGTTAGAATAAAATGGCAATTTCCTCATGAGAATACAAGATAGATATAGTTACTAAAAACATAATGTTTGATTTTACTTAAGAAACTGAATCATTTCACAAATGATTTATCCACAAACATGTCAAAGTGTTCAGGATTAACTTTATCTTTCATTCTGAGAAGTGATTTTATCCTTACCTCTGATTTGACTCTCCTAAGAGTCCACACAGAATGCACATTTTGAACAGCATCATAGGTCATCACAATGGAGGGGTTGATGTTAAGGAACACAATTTTCATTGCTTGATCTACAACATATTGCACCCGTGCTGAACCAAAAAGACCTTAAAAGTGAAATATAAACAGCCAGATAGAGAATAACGGGATTTACAAGACTGACCTTCATAAATTAACATTCCTACAAGTAAAGTCAAGTCAATTAAAACAAAAAATCAATTAAATATTATGTAATTCTCCCTGAATTTTAAATTTACTTTGAGCATGAACTTTCTTAAAATATACTAAAGATGAAAGCACTGAAGTAAAGATTTGAGCTGATTCTCCAGTCAATGCATTAGCCAGAGGTAAAGAAGCGAAGACTCCTTTAATGAACTTATTTATAAATTGCAATCAACTACTTGCAAAGTTTGATTTCTAAAAGTTCTTTTCTTCAGTATAAATCTGTACTCTATAATAATTAACCAAATAGTGCTGAACAATACTATTTGTACTTTACTGGTTATACATGTAAAATAATTTTTTTCCAGCTAAGTACATCTTCTACTTCTAAAACACAATGGAATGTTTTTTGTTTGTGTTATTTCTGCAGTGCTGGGGATGCACCCTAGGGCCTTGTGCATGGTAGACAAGTACTCTACTACTAAGCTAAATTCCCAGTAGTTTCCATATTCTGACAGCTTCCTAAATTCCTCCTTCTCAGTCAAAATATTACAAAACAAAAGGACACGATTATTTTATAGAAATATAAATTACTTTATAAACAAACAAAAATATCTCATAAATGCCACCATCCTACTAATACATTAGGGAGGTTTTTGGGTTTTTTTTGCTTAAGAGACAGGGTCTCACTGTATTGCTCAAGCCAGCCTCAAACTCCTGGGCTCAAATGATTCTCCTACCTTAGCCTCCCACGTAGCTGAGACAACAGGTACAAGCCACTATACCCAAGCTCTTACAAAATTAGAATCATACTGTACTTTTAATTTCATATCCTACTATTTATAATATTCCACAGTATAAATAAGCAACTCCTAAGGTCATTAAATATTTTTCAAAAACATTATCAATAAGGGCTACGTATCATTTAATCATAGGCTCTAAATGCTTATTTAGGTTACTAATAATGGCAAATGTTACCAATTTTTAACAAACTTTTTCTATAAAAAGTCAATGAATAAACCATTAGACTTTGTGGTCCATACACTGACACTATCATGTAATCTTTTTTGTTGTTTTCTACAACCCTCACAAAGGTAAAAAAACTATTCCTAATTCATAAGCTTTACAAAAACAAGGTAGAAGCTAGATTTAGTCCATGGCTACTAGTTTGACAACTCATGACACAAGAGATTAAAAACCTCAGTGGATTTCAGAACAGGTACTTAGGATAAAAGTCTACAAACAAAAATATCAAAGAATATAAATATTTTTTCGGTCTTCATTATTTATAATTACCTATCATGTTTGGTAAAACTTAAAATTTAAAGATAAGCAAATATAAAGACTTGCAGGAAACACTAAAAGCTCTAAGCGCCAGTATATGGTATAAACAGGGCAAGTGAAATACCAAAATCTACACAGAAAGGAACAAGGCCCTACATTTTTCTCTCCAAAAAAAAAAGTTCACACAAGTATCATTCATTCACTTACTAATTATTAAAGAAATGGATAAGTCAATAAATACATCAGTACTTCTCACAGATCTATATGTCTTATTTTTACTAAGAACATGGTATTTACAAAGTTCTTGCTTTGAGAACTGGCGGAGTTGCTTAAGTGTCTGCCTAGCAAGTGTGAGAACCTGAGTTCAAACCCTAGTCTCATCAAAAACAAAAAACAAAAGTTCTTGCTTTGAAATAAATATGAAATAAAATAGCTTTCATTATGAAAGCTATTTTTGTAACATGCTTAAATTATTTTCATAAAACAAATCAGTTTTCATAAGCTCCTTTTTTATTTCCCTCCCTCCTCCCAAAGGGAAAAAAAGAGCTATGTAAAAGAATATAAAAATACACTTACTTCCAGATTTACAAACAAGTGGGGTTATTTCATCTAGTGGGTGCAGCATGCTGAACATAGTGGGCAAAGGTTCTCTAGCAATAAACAAACACATAATTGATCAATCACCAACACAAAATGACTATGTTTGGGCATGAATCGTGCACTTTCTTTGCAAAGGAATTTTCTCTATATTAACCAGCGACTAGAAACCTACCGGCTCAAAAGCAAATTCTAAATATTTTGCATAACTCTTTTTCACAGCATCGTCTATTTTATTCCTAGAAACTTCTCTTCTTATAAAAATTCTATACACACATACACAGAAGAAAGATAAATAGTTCAAGAACACCTGCAAACAGCAGCCACAGAGTAATGGGCACAGGGCAGTCTCTTTTATTTGCCTCTCTTAGTAGTAATGTGTCTATGACAGCCAAAAAGGAAATTTAGGCACCTACACCTGCTTATAAAGGAGTGTACTTAAAAAAAAGAAATACTTCAAGTAAATAAAAGTCTTCATTTTTTTAAGGAATCTTTTTTTAAGAGGGGAAAACACACTTTCTATCAAAGCAGAAAGAAATTAAAATCTTTAAGCAATTTCCTTAAAACTTGGCAAGCGACTACCATTTACACCACACTGTAACAGGTGCTAAAAGCTCCTGCCCTTCAATGAGCTCACAATTAAGTTATAGGGAGACAAGATAAATACTTTGCCAATGAGCACCTACTATTTATTATGTACCTATATGTATCATGCCCAGTGTCAAAGCTCATATACATTGAGCTTGTTTAATCTTTGCATAGATCCTAAGAGGTAAATAACAGCATTCCTATCATACAAGGAAACTAAAGCTAAGATTAGCCCAAAGGAGCACAATGAAAACAGCACAGTAAAGAATGACTCTTGTTATCATTAAGCTATTTGCTTATTTAATTTTACTTCCTGGGGGCAGGGAAGAGCTACAGATAATTAAGGGCCAAGTAAATACACCTCACAAGTGTCCAATACTAACATGAAAGAAAATGGCATACTCTGTCCTGGTAGCATGGAAATTATTGCTATCCCTAACTTTTAGGTTAAAAATTCTACCTCAGACCACTAATGAAGTCTAAGAAATAATATCATGAACTGAACAAAATAAATACCTGGGTGGACCTGGAGGTACCTCATGTGAAGAACTGCTTCGTTCAAACAACAATCCATATTTAGTGGCCCAAACATTTGCAACCTATCAAGTAAAAGAGTGTGAAAAGACAGGAGTAAGAGAACTTTCCCTTTCTTGGTAAAATGCTTTTAGAAAACATGATGAAACACTAGATTTTCTTCCAATTTAATAAGAGCTTTACAAAGTAACATGATCACTAACTATAATACTTAGATATACACAATTTACATAAGCAGCTCTCAGGAGAGGCATTCAATGTGAAATTCCTGCTAGTGGCTAACACTGGTATCAAAATGACAACCTGATAAAAATGCAGCATGGTACTGCATAACTATAATCTCAGCTCTCAGGAGACTAAAACAGGAGGATTGGGAATTCAAGGTCAGTCTGGGCTACACAGTAAGACCTTATCTCAAAAAAAAAGCTAAACAATTAATTAACATTAAAAAATTTAAAAATTAGTAACAATAAGCAAGCGGTAAAAGCACCTGCCTAGCAAGCTTGAGGCCCTGAGTTCAAACCCCAGTGCAAACAAAAAAAGGTAAGCATTAAATAGAACTTGAGCAGCTGAAAAAAGAGCAATATTGTTCATAAGCCTTATTTAATGGAACCAAAATGATTTCTTATAAAGCATTTAAACAAACAAAAAACCTCTCAGACATTATAACTCACTTCATTAAGTAACTGTGCAAGGGACAGAAAAATGGTAGGCCACAAAAGCTACTAAAATTAGTTATTATACCTGAGTAAAAACATTCTTGACTGTAATACATAAGAGACATAAACAAGAAATACACCTGAAACCAATTTAAGAATGCTGTCTAACAAAACACACAAAAAAATGAAAATGCTCAAGTTTACCTGAAATGGTAAAGAAGCTATATAATCCTTTCCTTCTATGCTATGCATATTAATACATGAGCTCTGTAATATACATATGCATTTTTCTACTTCATGGCTACCTGAAAGGAAAGGCACAAGAGATTTATGGGGGGGTGTTCCATAGAGTTCAATACTAAGGTCACAAATTCTTTAATGTACAATATAAAAGTACTTAGGTTAAACACTATTGCTAGTGGCTATTTACTATGAAGAAAATGACATAAACATTTGGAACCATAAAAGGGCTGGAGGCATGGCTCAAGCTATAGAGCACCTGCCTAACAAGCGTGAAGCCCTGCAGCCCTGAGTTCAAACCCCAGTAGCACAAAAAAAAAGAGGAGGGGGATAAAATTTCAAACTTACTGTAGGTCTTTTCAGACTTATCCTGTGATATAATGAAGTCACACCACAATGCCTAAAATCAAAAGAAAATTGAACCTAAATAATAAACTATTAACTAATGGTCTCTAAATAAAACTGTGACATCTTGAAAATACCTTCCCTCCTCCTCAGCTCATATGCACATACACCATTGGAACAAACAAGAATAACAAAAAGTAGAATAATACTAAATACCATAAGAAAAGATAACTTATTTACAATTAAATTTTATGAAAAGAATATAAAATAAAAAAGCCTTGCAGCAAAAATTCAAATAGTGGCTCAACCTATATTAAACCCCATTATCCTACACAAAGCTAGATTGTCTGAAGAGTTTAACACTGTTAAACTATTTTATAATCTCCAGACCTACCCACCAACTGACCTTATTAAACTCTTTCAAGACTCACTTTAGGACAAATATTTAAAAAAACTAACATCTTTCTTTCTTAAAACCCCACCATGCAAAATACAAAGTAGGAAAAGCCATTTAATTTTAACTGCCTTTTTTTACAATCACTTTATTGAAATTATTTAATGGCATTTTACATATTTTTTTGGTTGTGGCAAAACATAAACATAAAATTTACCATTTTTACAATTTTTAATATTTTAACAATTCAGTGGCATTAAATAATCACAATGCTATACAACCTCACAACCACACATTTCCCTAACTTTTTCCTCATCCCAAACAGAAACTCTCCCCATTATCGACAATTTCGCCCTCAACTAAAGCCCTTCTATTCGGCCTATTCGGAGCTCCCTATGAATTTGCCTGTGGTGGATACCTCGTCTAAGGGGAACCGTGTAACATTTGAACTTTGGCATCTAGTTTACGTTACTTAACATGTTGCAGCATATATCAGTATTTCATTCCTTTTTAAAACTGAGTAGTAGTCTACTGTTTGCAATACACCACGTTTTACTTACCAATCATCTGTCAATGGGTTGCATACATTAACACTACCTTTTGGTTACTGTGAGTAACGCTTCTCTGAACACTTGTGTACGCATATGTGTTTGAGTCCCTGCCTTCCTTTGCATATATACATACAAGTGGAATTGCTGGTTCATAAAGTAATCCTTTTTTTTGTAAAACGATTTTACAAAATGTAAAACCTTTTGAAAAAGGAAACTGCAAGCTATTTTCAACAGCAGCATTTTTATATTTCTAATAGTAATGCAGAAGGTTCCAGTTTCTGGATAATACCACTAAAACTTGTTATTTTTCTGGGTTTGTTTTCTGTTTGTTTGCTCAGGACTTCATGCGTGCAAAGTAGGCGCTCTACTACTTGAGCCACACCTCCAATCTTTTCTCTCATTTTTAATTGGGCTTTTTGTTGTTGGTGTTCATTATTGCTGTTTAATTATATTTTAATGGCATTTTTACTAATAAGAATGCATGAAAAAAAAATCTCTTGTGCTTCAATTTTGAATGTCCAAAATTTATACTACATCAATTACAGTCTCAACTTCCTTTCATTCCCAGCTTCTCAGTCTCTTCAAACTAAATATTTTAACACCTCTTTTATTCCTGATGTTTAAGAGATCATCAGTCCCTTTCATACCTCCCTTGCCTTTGTTTGTCACCTGTCTTCTCTTTCTACAAGGAACCAATCTCTTTCAATGGAACCACAAGTAAGTATCCCTAACAAGTCTCCCTGCTCTTTAGTCAACCCCAAATATTGCCACCAAAGTCATTGCTTCTTAAACTACAAAACTCTCTACACTCCATTTTTAAATCTATGGTAGGCTCCCTTCTGCACAGTCTAAACCCCAAATTCTTTGATTTACATACAAGGCCCTTAATCTGGACCCCTACCTGCATCTCTACACCCTTAACTTGTATGTATCCATTTCAACCTTCACAAAAGTCATGTTTCTCCTTAATTCTTTTTGCTGCAATTCCTCTGCCTAGAACTTATGTCTTTCATCAATTTTCAATTCAAATAGCATCTTCTTTATGTCCTTGTGGGGTTGGGGTAGAAGCTGCTGATTATTGAAAATAAATTGGACACTTCATCCCTAAATACTTCATGGTACGTTTCCTAAAAAAGAAAAAAAGATGATCTTCTACAAAAACCTCAAAACTATCACCCTTCTAAGAAAATAATGTTTCTAATATCACCTAAGATCCAGTTGTTTTTTACTTTTCCAACTTTTCCCAAAAAAATGTCTTTTTTAGCTAACTTTCTAGAACCAGGATTCAACAAAAGTTCACTTAACAAGACTCAAAAATATTGCATTTGACAGGGCATAGTGCTACACAACTATAACCTCAGCACTTGGGAGGCTGATGAGGAAGGAGGATCCCAAGTTCCAGGCCAGTCTTGAAAAAAACTCTATTTGGTGATACCACTTCAATCTCTTTTCATCTAAAAATCCTCACCCTTTTTTCTTCCTCCATGACTGCCATTTTTAGAGACCAGAATGCAGATTCTCCCAAATTCTGGATTTGTCTAATTTTTATGAGAAAGTTAGTAACACACAATAGTGCCAGCAACAATTTACAATCTTGCCTTAAGTAACATGGAGGAGGTCACAAATGGTAATTTTCTAATTCTACCATCCCATTCCTTCTACATATATTAGCTGGCATTCTTCTATTAGTAAGTTTTCCTTCATTAGATGAACTGCATGTCTTACTGAAAACAACAACTGCTTAATTCCTTCCCTTTAATTACCAATTTTTAAAATGAGTTAGCAGCTGTTTTTTTTCTTTTTCTTTCTGTCACAATAAGTCCAACAATTTATTCAATATCTGGCAATTAATAATCCTTAAAATATTTTTGTATCCTTAACATCTTAAAATTTTTTCCTGACAATAACAAATTGAAGTACCCAATGGTAGTGTTTAAAGATGATCCCTGGCAAAGGTAGTGTAAAGAACATGATGATACATAAAATGAACATCTTATTTTCCTATCTTATCTTCACTACATGTTAAAGTGTACAACCAGTTGCTGGGATCTTTTTACTGCTTTTATAATTTGTTAAATTTTAAAACAAAAACTTTTCAGAAAAGATGTGTTAAATAGTCAATCAAATATAAAAAATCAAATTAACTATAGGCTGGGAACAGTGGCTCATGCTGTAATCCCAGCTACTCATGAGGCGCTAATTTGGAAGATTGCAATTCAAGACCAGTCTGGGCAAAAAGTTAACAAGACTTGTGCACACCCTGTTATCCCAGCTATGCAACAAGCATAAACAAGAGAATCATGACTCAGACTGCCCAGGCATAAACATGAGACCTATTCAAAAAATTTCTAGGCTGAAGGCATGGTAGAGGACCTACCTAGCAAGCACAAGACCCCGAGTTTAACCCCCAGTACCATCTCCCCACACAAAACAAATTCAAATTAACTTGCCTGTTGAACAGGACTGTCAACTGTAAACGCTTTGTAGACTGCCAATGCCTGGCTTTTACTTCCTTTGCTCCAGATCACCATATTTCCAGCCACATAGAGTTCCTCATCATAGTCCACTTCTTCTCCAATGTCACTTACGCCTTTCCTTAACTGCCAGCTTTCCTTAAAAATTAACACGTGTAAGACATATTCAAGCACTTTTTCTTTCTTTTTCAATAGTTTGGAACAAGATTTATTTACCCGTGAAATAAGATTCAATACAAGTCCAATTCCTAGGTCTGGTGTGCTGATTAACAGAGTATGTGGACATATCATATCTTACAGAAGTTTCAGAAACAAGAATTCTATATATTAAATATTTTATATTACACTCCTATATTACTCAACAGTGAAGTACACATGGGAATCACTGGGGGAATGTATGCACAATGCAGACTTTCCTGCTTTACAGCTGCATATACATTGACCTTCTTCCCATCCATAAAAAAAATGAATCGAAGAGAGAAAAGTTATGATTTCTCACTATATACATCCCATCCATGAAATTTTGATATCATAAAGGGATATAAAAACTGATAAGGCAGAAGGGGGCTGGGGTTCAGCTCAGTATTATAATGCTTGTCTACCATGAGCAAGACCCTATGTTCAATCACCAGCACTAGAGGAAAAAAGAGGCATGAGAAATTGAATTTTCCAACATACTATCCTAAACTGACCGCCTGTAAACCCTGCACTCAGGATGCCAAAGCAGGAGGATCATGAGTTTGAAGCCAGCCTGGGCTACAGAGCAAGTTGTAGGACAGCCTGAGCTGAAACTACCAGCCAGGCATCGGTAGCTCACGCCTATAATCCTACCTACTCAGGAGACAGAGATCAGAAGGATCACAGTTAGAGGCTAATCCAGGCAAACAGATCGTGAGATGCCATCTTCAAAATAACCAGAGCAAAATGGACTAAAAGTGTGGTTCAAGCATTAGAGAGCCTGCTTTGCAAGCACAAAGCCCTGACTTCAATCCCCAGTCTCACAAAAGAAAAAGAAAAAAAGAACTACTATTCTATCTTACTTCCTTCCTCTAGAAATGAGTTGCAGCAGGGACCATTTCTAATCTCTACCACTCACTGATCAAACACCAAAGAACATGAAATCTGATCTCCACATAAGAAGTGAAGAGGTTTAAAATGAACCATAATCAGCTGGACACAGTGGCTCAAACCTGTAATCCTAGCTACCTGGGAGGCTGAGAATGAGAAGACCAAGGTTCCAGGCCAGCCAGGGCACGCCTATCATCCAGCTATGAGAGGAAGCATAAAATAGGAAGATCAAGGTCCAGGCCAAAAAGCAAAACCCTATCTCAAAAATAACCAGAGCAAAAAAAAGGGTTGGCAGCATGGCTCAAGCAGGAGAGTGCCTGCCTAATAAGCTCAAAGCCTGGAATTCAAACCCCAATAATGCCAAAAAAAAAATTTTTTTAATAAAATAAAATGAACCATAATCATAGTACTGAACTTGACTCTCATTATAAAGTCACAAGTTCTATAGTATGTCTAAATTGGCAGCTAAGACACTATAATACAATAATCAATATTTTAACATTGACTGAAATTACTAAGCTTTAACCTTTACCCTAGATGTAGAACCATACTTATTTCTCAGATGTATCTGGGTAGTCTTAAATTACAATCACACTTCATCACTCTACACTTCAAATATATAATGGAAAACAATAGAACCTTCTGTTTTTCATGGATTGTAACCTCCTGAAGAGATCCCACCAAGCCAGCAGCACCATCAGAAGACCATAATTCAGAAGCTGGCTGCAGCTGTCGAAGCTGAAGATTCAAAGCATTAGGGTGGTGCTTGCAGTGGTCTCGACCAAAAGGAACAAATTCCTGCAAATCCCCGGCTGCAATCATCGTTGCCCTTTCTTCATAGAAGTTCGACATGGGTTCCAAATATCAACATTATTTCTGCATAAATTCAAACACACTCAGGTCAGCCTCTATAGTCAAAACCAGTTTACTACCACGTAAGATGTAGATGGGTTGTGATAGAAACATGCAACTCTATCTCCCAACCATTTCTACATTCAGTAAATGACAGCTGGTAAAATTCTGACACTGTATGACATATGCCATGGGTTTCCACTTCTGTCTCTGAGACTACATCTACAATAAAAAAGTTTTCTTGGCATTACATTTAAGATATAATCCTGAAGATAAACATCTGACTTCAGAACTACAGACAACCTTAGAGAGAAACAACACTCAAGATTAAGAGGATTTAAACTGAATTTGACTTAGATTTCTCATCTGAAGTCTTCTGACATCAGTTTGCTTCACAAACACCTCAAGAAGCCTCTGTAATTCCTACACTGCCCCCCTATAGCGATAGCTATTTTGCTGTGAATTAAATGTTAGCCCTAACATAATAATTTATCACAAAATGACCCCAAGTTTTTCGACCTGCCAGAAATAAATCATTATTGTATCGAGAACACCTGAACTTGAAATACAGCAAAATGCCTTCTAAAACTTAAAAGAAATTCAAAACTCAGCTGGCCATATTCAACAAGATACCAACATTAAAGAACTTGCGACTTTACAAAGACTTCAGTGTGCAATTTTTTTTAATGTTATTCTCTTATAACCCGAGCAAAAACGATGCAGTTTCTTTAGTATTATTTTTACAGTACGGCAGGTACCATTTTGTACTAAGGCACCATCATTAACACTTTTACAGTTCCTCAAACTTTTGCAAACGTGTTAATTAAGGGCAACATGAAGAGCTACACCTAAAAGCAATAAAATGATATGCTGTTAAGTCAAAATGTCAGCATTGGTGGGCAGGAACGAAAACTACTCTTCGAAAAAAGAGGAAACTCAAAATGCATACAGAAGGGGCCTTCAGTTGAGTCTCCACAAAAAGGCAGAACTTCCCCCAAGCTCTTTTAGGGGGTCGTTGAAACCAAGGGGTTAAGCTGAAGCTGCCAAGGAAAGGGTTTGGCTCAGCGAGCTCGAGGGAAGGCGCCTCGGACAGAGGCCAGCCCGCAGGCCACAAACTCGCTCGCCCCTGCGCGCACTTAGGGCCTGCCCTGGGGTCCTCAGCCCTCCAGGTCACCAGGCACGAGCCCGCCTCGCGACAACTGCAAACGTCAAGAGGCGCGCGACAGACCACCGGCGCTACGGGCCCGGGCCCGCACCTGGATGACTCGGGACGCGTCAGGCGCTGCGAGCCCCGGCTGCTCCCCGGAGGCGCAGGGGCCGAGGAGGCCCGAGAGCAGCGGCAGGTCGGTCACAAAGAGTCCTGGGTCACTGCAGCTTCTCATCCCCTCTCCCTCCCTTATGCCGGAGGAAGAATGGGCAGCGGCGGCAGCAGCAGCAGCAGCGGACTGCTAACCAGAGGCAGGCATGCGAAACGTTCAAATGGACGCGTCCATCTTGGTTTTCCCGTCCTGCTTTGCGCCAGGCCGGGCGTGGTGGAAGCCGGCGACGGCCCAGCGGCCTTAGCGCCTGCGCAGTTGTAGAAAGGCGGATCGGACCGGAACTTGCTGGGTACTTCCAAACTCCCTAGATGCTGGAAGCCGCCACGTAGGTGCCTGCTAGAGTCCATACAGGGATGGAACCCTACTGGCATTCGCATCCTATTCAGATCTTGTCACTAGGAGTCCGAACTGCTCTCTAACTCTGATTTAGATGCCTTTTTGGCGGTGTTCGCTTCCGCCTACTGACCCCGGATGAAGGAACGTGCCTCCAGACTGAGGGGTAGGACGGCAAAAGGAGGTTGCAGATTGTTCTCTCTCTGCCGGTGCACCATAACCCTGTGGAGTTCGGACTCCGAAAAGTTAACAGGTGTGGACGTGTGCACCTTTCCCCTGGTCACGAACACTCCCAGGCGGTTTATAAACCCGAGTTAAGAATCCCAACTTGGGCTGGCGGAGTGGCTCTAGTGGTAGAGTTCTTGCCTAGCAAGCATGAGGCCCTGAGCTCAACGCCCCCCCCCCAAAAAAAAAATTTATGAAAGAACCCCAGCTTGATGCTTCCCTGTCTGTCTGTGAGTTCAACCGTACAGAATCCAGCACGTGACACTAAAACGCGCTTCTCCCCCCTTATCCCTCCCCACTGGCGATCAAACCCAGGGCTCACGAATGCTGAACAAGCACCCTACTACTAAGCTATATTCCCAGCCCCAAAACACTTTCTTGAGTTCTAATCTCCTAATTGCTTGGCTTCAATTGCTTAAGGAATAAACTTGCAGTTCTTTGCTCAGAAATACAAAGTTGCCTGGAATCTTAAGCCTTCACTAAAATTGCTGGGATTCCCAAAACAGACCTTGCACTGATAGCCTTCCTATCTTGGTTCATTATCATCCCTTTATTTTGAATGTCATTCTTCAGGGCTTATCTCAAACTGCCCTTCTCTGGAGGCCACGTTCCAACAGGAAGGAGCCTGTCTTAGAACTTACTGAGTAGACCTGACTTTCGTTTTATTCATTTACCCGAAACAAAAATTATGTGGCCTGAGGATACAAAGATGGTCAAACTAATAATCATAATCTACGTGCTTTGCCCTGATCCTTTATTCTTTCCCACAGGGCCCTTCCATCCTACAAAGTCCCTTTCTATTCCCATCAGAAATTTCTGGAAAAACCAGCAGCAGGGAACATCTCAGTTGCCTATCAGAGGCTCTCATTGATAGTATTCTCTATATCCTCTACCTGTTGCCCCACCTCAACCACCACAGTGGCCTGCCCACTCTAAGAGGCTTGTGCTCCACCAGCCCTGTCAGTCCCACCAGCTGTCATTTGCCACAGAAGTCCAGGCTCTCTCCCTAGAATGTTCTGTGCAGCCAGGACATTGTCCCATTCCCTGGGTCTCTGGTTTCTCCTACGACTGCCAGCCTTGGATAAAATGCCCATCTGTGGGAGCTTCTGAAGAGGCCAAATACAGAAACCCAAAAGGGTAGAGTGGACTGGGGACATGGCTCACAGGTGGTAAAGTGCCCCTAGCAAGTGTGAGACCTTGAGTTCAAACCCCAGAACTTAAAAAAAAAAAAAAAAAAGGTGGGGGGTCTGGAGCAAATTTTGATCAATAGGAATAAGCAGAAAGGAGTTAGACTTACAAATTCCCTTATCTCCCTCCCATGGACCATTCTAAGGCGTGGTTTGTGCGCACAGCCTGTCAGGAAATGTCTTGTGTGTCTGGGTAGACACCTCTGTCAGTCTGCTGAATTCTTGGCATCTTGTGAAGCAGTGTACAAGTGCAATACTTGTCATCCTCCCCTGCCGTATTTCCCCTTTCCTTCATCCTCTCTGTCTTGGGCTAAACATCAGCACCCATTATCCTGGCCTCCTATCCTATCTTTTAGAAAATTTGGGCAGCACAGTCCACAGTCTTACACTGCCAACTGTCCATTGGACAAAGTAGAGTCACTGGAAAGCTTCTCCAGCTCTCACTCCTAGGCACTCCCTTCTTTGCTCAAAGAACTGTTTCAAGGTGCCAGTTTCAGCTGTGTTGTCCTCCCTGGTCTACACTGATAACTCCCCTCTAGTACTCCCAGTGAATGACTCTCAGTCCTCCAGGCACCAGAGCAGGGCCACATTTCCTAGAGTGGCAGCCAAGGTCCTCTGCCCCCTGCAGTACTTTAGTGTCATTCACAGCACTAGCTGGACTCATAATAGGACAAAGCATCTTGAGTAATCAAATCCTTCTGCTTCTGCTGCCATCCACTCTGCCCATGGGTATGCAAACCAGAAATCCAGGAGTTTTAGTCTTGGTATCTCCATCATCCTCCCATCCCCTTCTGGCATTTCAGCACATGCTTGGCTCAGAACACAAAAACTCTTGTATAGACTTCCTGCAGGCTACCAACTCACTACACATCTGCTATGCCCTCCAAACAAACAAGAATTACCTTTAGGAATTCTGAGGTTGCATTTTGGATACAGATGTATATCATAAAATCGATCTCTTTCAATGCTATACCATCTCCAGTAAATACCAAAATTGCCCCTGTGTATGCAAAAAAAATTGAATAAAATTCCTGTTTCTCATTTTTAATACCTGACAAAATATACATCTTTACATTCATAACTAGTGCTGCATAACAATATTACCACAAACTTTGTTACTCAAAATAACACATGTCTATTATGTCAGGCACGGCTTGTATGTGTGCTTTTCACCTCACAAGGCTGCAATCAGTATATTGTTGCTTAGGGCTGTGGTCTCATCTGAGGCTCTTCTAAGGAAAAGTTCGCTGAGCTCACTCAGAATGTGATTTCTTGTGACAATAGGAAGAAGGGCTTCAGTATTTTCTGACTTTTAGCCAGAGATACCAATAGCTAGAAGCTGTAGGAAGATCATGAGTTTGAGACCAGCCCATGTAGAGGTATAAGATCCTATCTCAAAAACAAAAATGAAAACAAAAAGGCTGAGGGTGTAGCTAAAAGAGCATCTGTCTAGAAAGCTGGAGGCCCTGGGTTCAATACCTAGTACTGCAAAAAAAAAAAAAAAAAAATCAGAGGGCAAAGAAAATAAGGAGTTTACTACCAGTCAATTTGTGTGATATGTAACAACAGGTGCAATTAATGAACTATAACATAATTGTGTTTTATGAGTTTATTCAATTTTCCAATACATGATTTACAAACTTGAATTCAATTCATGCATAGGGGTTAGGGTTTATATTTAACGTAGGGTGACCAATCATCCCTGTTTTCCCAGAACTGGAGTTTTCTAGGATGTAGGATTATCAGTTTTAAGATGAGACAGTACTGACAAACTGGGATTACTGATCATCCTAATTTGAAGTAAAGATAGGCTTTATATACATGTAAGCAAACTGTTGTCTCCTGAGATCTTAAGTACTGGGACATTTGAGGGCAATGAACAATCCGTTTAAGGAAAAGCAGTTCAAAAAATTGTAAATGAAATTTCAAGATGGATTTCTTTGGGGAAATGAAATTGACAATATTCTCAGTACTCTGAAAATATTTGTCCAGAGTAGAGAGAGAATCTAGTAAAGGATTGGTTGGATTAGTAAGAAGCCTGAGAAAAGACACAAGTAAACAAACCAAGACAATTACTAATTCCTGAGAAAACAAAAAGTAGTATGGAAAAAAAAAAAACAGGAACAAATTTGGAGACTTCATGCAACTGACTCCAAGAAGCAATACTAAGTAAGCAAGTGAGGGATTATAGAAGAAAGGGTAGGCTCAGAATCATGGAGCAGCTAGAGTTGAAAAACAGATGCACACAAATAGTTATATTTTAAAATAAACTACTTTTTAAAAGCTCATAGATTTACAGAAACATTGCAAAAATAGTACAAAGAGTTTCCATATACCCACACCCAATTTACCTTATTAATATTTTAAATTATTATTTTGCATCATACATTTGTTAAAATTAATTAACTGATATCAGTACATTATTGTTAATTTAAATTCATACTTTATTCAAGCTTCATTATTTTTTCTGTTCCAGGGTCCCAGCTTGTCTCCTTAGACTCCTTTTTTTTTTTTTTTTTTCTGCCAGTATGGGGTTTGAACTCAGGGTCTCACGCTTGCTAGGCAGGTGCTCTCCCAATTGAGCCACTCAGCAAGTCCTGTTTTGTGTTGGGTATTTTCGCTATAGGGTCTCTCAAACTATTTGCCCATGCTGCCTTCAAACCTCAATCCTCCTCTGCCTCCTGAGTAGCTAGGATTACAGGTGTAAATCACTAGTGCCCAGCTCCTTGGACTCTTGTTTTTGATAACCTTGAGAGTTTTAAGGAATACTGACTGATCAGGTCAGTAGGATATCCTTTATATGAAATTTGTCTGATGTTTTTGTCATGAGTAGACTGAGGATATGGATTTGAGGGAGGAAGACCAGAGAGTTAAAGTGCCATTTTCATCCCATAATATCAAAGGTAAATACCAACAACATGATGTCATTATTGATGCTTTCCTTGGTCACCTGGCTGAGGTCATGCTTGTCAGTTTTCTCCTATAAAGTTTCTTTTTCCCCTTCCCATACTGTACTCATTGGAAGGGAGACAAAATGTGTGACCCACTCTTAAGGAGTGAGGTCAATTGATTTTTTTTGTACAACCTGCAAAAATAATTCAATGGAGGAAAATATCCTCACTGGAAGATTGGGATGTCCATATGCAAAAAAATCTTGCATATGGAATCTTGATCCATACCTCATAAAATTATACAAAATTAAAATTGATCACAGACCTAAATGTGTAACTATAAAATACTTAGAAGAAAACATAGGTGCAAATCTTTGTGACCTTGGATTAGGAAATGATTTCTTGAGACACAGCACCTAAAGTACAAGGGATGAAAGAAAAAATAAGTTGGGCTTTATAAAACTTTTTAGGAGCTGGTGCTGTGGCTGAAGTGGTAGAGCACCTGCCTAGCAAGCACAAGGCCCTAAGTTCAAACCCCAGCACC